TTTATTTCCATGAAATCTACAACAGATACAAAGAGCACAATAACATTATTTAATAGAGCAAATTCTCAGCTACAAAATACAAAATGCATTCACTGCCATTAGCTATCCATCTTCACTACTGATGAGTGAGAGCCTGCATGCTATGCTTGTAAAAAAAAAAAAAAAAAAAACAAAACAAACAAAAAAATCACCCTGCACCAACAGAGGTGACCTCCTGTTGCCACTGCTGAAATGCACCGCCCACTGCCTCACTGTGCTCACATGCACTGTTTGGTCTCCATAAATATTCAGCAAGTGTATTTGCTGAATTTGCTTCATGTGCACTTTCATGTCAGACACCACTTTGTCAGACTGCCCTTCTGCTGTTATCTCTCTGATGGCAACAACGTGTAAAAGAATATTGGCGGGAAGGTTCAACCTCTGCTGCCATAGCATCAACATCCACCTCCGAGACTGTGCCAGAAGAATGAGATAGGAGGCATTACTTTCAGAGCAGCCCTCATGGCACCGAAGAATGTCTTGATATATGATGCTGAATGCAAATAACTTCTAAAGGATGTGACAGTGGCTATCCATTATTTCACCTCAGAAATGCACTCCAGGGAGTTGCCATGCTGCTAGGAAGCATGCCAGCTTGTTGGCTGTCACTCACCTTGCAGCACGGCACTCCCTTGCTCAGCCAGGTGTGATGGTAGGAAGCTGCCTGCTTGGCTGTGAGGCTGTTTAGGGCAACTAGTCTGCAAGAAGGAACTGGAGGCGGGAGAGCAGATTTTTAAGGGCCAGGAGAGGGGTTGTGGGAGGCTCTGGGGAAGAATGGGGAGATTTTGTTTCATATTAAAGGATGGACTGGTGGGGTATTTGGCTTTCCTCTGCTACCTACTGTAACCAGCAAACAATCTACTTTATTATGCATTTTGCTGCCAGTTCTAGCCTAGAGTTCTTCGGCAGTCATAAGATACTTGCATCACCCTAACCCAGAAATTCCTTATCCATACGCTGCTGCTGCTGTCCGAGGAAGATGGCTGTTTCCATGCAACATCTGGTTAGAAATATCTGTACATCGTCAGGCATATTCACCTTCTTGAGTAATTTTCCAAGTGAAATAGTACGTTTTCTGACAAAAACAGATACATTCTCAAGGAGCATTGTGATAGAGGCAGATAGAGTACTGCTTTAATTAAATGATTTTATTATTGTTACCCAATAGGCTCTGTTTGCTCTGAGAAGGCCTTTGAAACCCTTGTTTTTCATTCACAAGTGTACCCTTTTTTCATTCACAAGTGTACTCTTTGAAACTTGCTCTCAAGGGATACCATAAAGGTGAGGCTAGAGCAGAAATTCTGTCTAGCAAGCTTATCTTTAAATCAGCTCTTGAGCAATTGGAGAGACTCTACTCTGATTTAACAAGGTTTTTGCTCTCCTGTTCTATTCTTCATTAAACATGTCAGAGGAACAGCATGCTCTGTGAAGAATTACTTTGAATGCCTGACCACAGGCTTGTCAGAACCCTGTTGGGCAGCTAGCTCTGCATAAATCAGAGCTCTCTGGTCTAGATGCTGAAGGTCATTTTTGAGTAAGATGGTTCCTGCCCCATAGATCTCTTGTTTGTAGTGGAGAATGTTCAGCCAAGTCAGAGGAAGAAAAACTGATGCAAAATACAAATGTTTTGTCTACCTGTCCAGCCCTCTGTTTTAACAGCATGCAGACAGAATTCTGCTATGTAAGGGAATTGTTTCTTTTTTTCCTCTGAATAATGGTGTTTTTTTGAGTCTTGAGTTCAAAGCCTCACCATTAAACAGAGGACTATTAAAAAATCTTTAATTTCCTGAAGCTTTTAGTGAATGATGGAGGGTACTATAATAGTTCCAGTTTCTTGGAACTGCTTTTTCATTACACAGAAATCCCAGTCAAGCATGTATTGTCTGTAAACTATGTTATTGTTAACGGTAACTTCATAATGGAACAAGTCATGCAATAGCAATGTAGGGTTTGGATGTACCTGAAAGGAAACAGGGGAGAAATGAATGACTTCAGAACAAACAGGCTTGCTTGTGCACTTTGTCTGCATTTATCTGATTTCTTTGTCAACATGCCCCGCTCCAAGGGTAGTACAACGAGGTATAAGTCCGGGGATGAAACAGATGGCCAGAATATGTCAAATGCCTAAATAAATGTATGAGAGCAGGCTTTAGACTGTAGTGCTTTTTTATGAAAGTGGCTTGAGCTTTCTCCTTCAAAGTGCTGATTTGTACTACTTAAGACTACTGCATTGCTACAGCAAGTCCTGTACAGTTATTCTCTAATTACGTAGTTACTGCTCTGTTCTGGAGCAAACCAGTGGTATAAACAATGTTTCAGAAAAAGGTTCTTGCTAGGAAGATAAACAGATCTGTTTGCATAAACTGAAGAGAGAGTGGAAGCATACTTTGTGTGACTGCACTAAGAATGAATGTACAGGCTTTGCCAACCTTAAGTGCTATAGATGGTGGGAACTCTGTGTCCCTAATGCTGCAGCCCCAGAGCTTGGTACGAGCACCAATGCAAAGCAGGGGTATGTTCTGTCAGCACAGTCTGGTCTCCTCTTTTGCCTCGACAGGAAAAGGTGCCATTCAGTACTGGTCCCATCACCTTTGTGCAAGTATTATTCAGTTGTACTGCAGCTCTGTGAGGTATCTTGGTGCTGCTGCTTGCGTTGGACATTGGTGGTTGGTCTGTTTGTTTTTCTGGAATGCTGAATGCTCCTCTCTGGGAGTAGTAAAGCTTTCACGTAATGATTAGGACTATGTTTCAATGTTCTGTGAATCCTAATGTGTTCTGGATTGTCTCTTTTTAAGATTGGGTGTATGGTAAGCATTTAAAAACTCGACCTTGACAGTCAAAAGACCAAATCAATGAATAACTGTTCTGAATTGTTATGATTAGAGCCTATTCTGTTTCACGGCAAATTTTCAAATTTACACCCCAAATCTAATGTGTGTGGGCAAAATGGGGGCCATGCACTATGCCTTGGTCCAGAACTTTAGTAAGCTGTGTTTCTCTCTACTTCTGTGTTCAGGAACTTCTGTGCAGGACTCCAAGAAATAAACAGTCACAGACACTGTAGGTGAAAACTTCTTGCTTTTTGGTTCCAAAAGCAAATTAAGAGGTTTTCAAGTCCAGTGGCTGAGGAAATCTATCCATCTAGGGCACGTGAACAGTTAGGAAAACTTTTTAGGTGTTGCAGTGTTGTGCTTGTGAAGCCTGAGAACTGTCTTTGACCAGGAGCATTGCTCTGGTTTCCGTCTCTTCACACTGAAGTGTCACATAAACGCGTCTCCAAAAGCAGAGCAATTCCCCTGGGTCAGTGTGTTAGACCAAGTGTAGCTGTTGGTGGGGCAGGGAGACTGGGCCAAATCCCCAGCTGTACCATAGGTGCTGGGCACAGCTGTGCTTACGAAATAGAGACAAAAACCACCTTACTGCTGCATGCTTTGGGTTAACCAGATTTGATGGGGTGACTCTTGTGCTGGCTCAGAAAGTGCATGCTACGTCACAGCTTGTTACGCTAACAGTAATAAAGATGAGGGGTGCCTCCCCTTTATGACAGGCTATTTTAAAAGAAAATTTTAATGATGATTAAATAGATGGGCATGTGATTAGTGGGCTTCTGTACATCTGAGTATTCTGAATTATGTTGCCTCTAGCAGCGTGAAGTTGCTCAGAAGTAATACACATTGAGTGTCTGCACTGCTCTCATCTGTGGTCCTTGTACTTACCTAGAGGCATTTATGTTCTTGCGTTGCACAGTTTGACTAAAAACCTCTTCAACACACCTGCTAACGTCTGGTCAGTGCTGCTTTGCCTGCTGAGCTCTAAACAATAGATCTGAATGGAATTATAATGCATAGCATGAAGATAAATCTGATCCTGTGACTTTGAGCTTTCAATAGTGTATGGTCCAGCTTCACTACTACTAAAATTTCTAGTTATTGAATTTCATTTTTCAGTCTCTATTGTTTCTGTTATTTCACGTTGTTTTTGTTTTTACCTCTTTTGTGGGTAGGAATCTGTAGTAAGTGCATTTGGAATACATGGGATTTTCTGCTTTGTACATGACCAGCTATTGTAGTGTTGGTTTTGTGGTAAATAGTGAGAGATCTAGGAAGATTGCTCTTGCTGTGTAGTAGTGAAAGAAAGACCTGATTGCTTTTTTTATTTTTATTTTTTAATAATTTATATATCGTCTTGTAAAATTGAAGGCACATATGACTCTACACTATTGCTTTTATGTTTGTATCTTGCAAAACTCTTAACTTCTGTTTTAAGGATTGTAGCTATAGCCAAAATGTTTGCATGCTAATATTCAGTTTATAGACAAATTCTTCTAAGTTCAAATGGTAGGAAGTAATAGTACATGATAGTGGCTCCATTAAACGACAGTTCTAAATGCCAAGCATGCTGCCATGTATATGTATCTCTGAGGGAACTGAGGCAAAAGACTATTTTGTTTTCCTGGCTGGAGCTTGAGAAAGCAGAGTTGGTCTGATAATAATGGGGAGAAAACAAATAAAAACAGTGATTGAGTTTCATTCTGTAATCCACTAAAACAATGACCAAAGTATTTAGTGACCATAGTATTTAGTAAGGCCTTCAAAATATTTTGTAATAGCTGCATCATCTAGGCTTTAAATATTATTCAGATTGGTGAAATGCAAGAAGGCTCCTCTCCACTAACTGCTGCACACAGGTCTCACTGCCCTCCCTGCAGCCAGCAGAGAGGACTAATGCAGCTCTGCTCTGGTGTCACACAGCCCGCGGGCAGTGTCTTCTCACAGAGGGAACCTTGCTGTGACATGGGATAGGCTGAGATCTTTGGTAAAAGTAACTTCCTGTCATTTTCCTGACAGTTCTGCTCGAGCTGTGATGGACATCTTGAGCAAATAAATTAAAAAACAAAAAAAAAAAACCAGCAACAATAAGAATAAATAAGGAAAAAATGAAAAAAATCAGAAACTCCTCCATTCCATGTTCATGAAATCTTTTAATCTTGCTAAGATGCAGAACAAAGACTATTGAGTTTCCATTCATTAGCAGCCAACAAAATATGAATATTGTCTTCCAACAAAAACTGATATTTAACATCAAGTTGTGCACTTAAAAATAATTACAAATAATCTTAAAAAGAAAGAAAAATAGTGGAAGCAATAATGAATATAGAACATGACTGAGTAGGCTTAGACTTCAAGTATTCTATGGCATTTCCTCAGACATCTGTCTTAAATTAGTGCAGTACCCATCTTTGCATAGTAAAGAAAGATTTGTTAAACTCCAGCCTTAAATAATCCCTTTAACATGCACCTATACATCTGTTAATTTGCCTAGCAAATTAATTCTCTTTTAGGATCACATCAATTCAGTGAGAGCATGCAGCAAACTGGAATAAGCTGTACAGTAACCACAGTTTCTTGTCCAGGTGAACAGATAAATAATGGAGCAAACATACAGTGGGGGAACCACAGACGTTACTGGTAGTGACATTTGATGACAGTGATGAACAAATTAAATGCACACGTACCTTTCAAAGCACAGCAAAGACAGTGTAGAAAATGAGCACCTAACTACAACAGCTTTTATTGTCTAATGCCACAGAAAGCACTTCAGCCTCGACCTGCTCTGCGCTGTGTCATCACTTGTATTCTATACACGTGGGGCAGAAAGCCACTGTGTACTTCCACGTACAGGCAACAGCTGACGAGTGGAGCGTAAACTCAGTCAGGAAATCATAATTCCTATGAAACTGCTGGGGTAAATAAAAAGTTACTCCAGCACTGACTGTATGTACATAGAGTTGGGGACCACTGTGGTCTGATTTAAAACATCACATCGCACATTTACAATGTTGTTTGTGAAATGATTCTCAAAGGTTTATTACACAGGTAGCTTACATACATCCAGTTGATTTTATTCACTTTAATTTTTGGTAACCAGTAGTATTTCCATTGTGGTTACACAGCTTTGGGAGCAGAACTGTTAGGAACTTGGGATCATGTTCCCAAGCAAACTAACTTTATAAGACATCGATGTATTTGCAAGGATTTTTGGTTTGCCATAAAAACTTAGTTCTGCTTCAGGCCAGGCAGGAATTGTCCAGGATATGACTTCCAATATGTACCCATAGCGACTACCTGTGTGCAGCACCTTTAACTCCTAATGTAGTAAGTGTTTAATGTGATTGTTAAAGCTGTTTGAAAACATTTAATAGTAATTGTCAACCAAAACGATACGTAGTAATTCTCTTGTGAGACTGTTGGATTCAACGTTACCATAAGAAATAAAACTGAAATGAGAAAGATTACTTTTTTTTAAAGTCAGTCACAGGAAATCTGCAGCATTTTTCTTAATGCTCTGGCTCCTAAAGCAAACTTAAGGAATGGATTTCCACTGAAAATAGATGGAATACCTCACGTAACTTCAGTTCTGTAGTTACTAATATCCAACCTTTAAATCAAAAATTACAGAAGTCTTTGCTTCTGGGCTATCAGTTGCAGCAATACAATTTCTAGGTTGCTTCACTTAAATGATTTACTCCATGTATTTTTTTTAAAGTGAAGTCAAACAGGATGAGCCCCAGATCTCAAAGGCCTATAAAGGAGTCCTAAACAAGCTCTCTTCGTATCTTTCCCATGTCAGACATGCAGGTAGCCTGCTTACTACAGGAACAGCACCGCTGCCCAGCACTTTTCTGAAAAATCTGCTTGTAATTATTTAGATACATCTTGCATACAACACCCCATAAATTATATGCATTTTGTGTATTTTGTAACTAGCTAGGAGAAGCAGAGTGAGAAAGATTGTTTTTTGTTTTGTTTTTTTGTTTTTTGCATTATACTTGGAAAAGTCGAATGCAACAAAGAGATACAGGGAGTGCATTAGAAATGTCAATTATCTTTGCAAGTTGGTTTGAGTAAGCAGAAGGGAGGAAAAACTTATTCCAAGCTTTTAACATTTTGCAAGTATTTTAAGGCTTATTTAAATTTGTATATCGCAGGATCTAGACAACTGGAGGAAAAAAAGCTAGAATTAAAAAAAAAAAAAATCTTGGCACTTCTGTGATTGATTTGAGGGTGTTATTTTCTTACATTATATTACAAAAAATCTGCCAAAAAAATCAGTGAAGAAGGAATCCGGACTTATAGTCAAACAGAGATATGCATTTATACATTTCAATTGTTTTTAGTTTCAAGCACACAAACTTAGGATCGTATCTGTTTGGTGTTAGAACTCCCTGCATCTGCATGCTATTCTCTGCCTTTTTTGAGCAAGTCCAGAGCACTGGCTGTAAAACATGCTAAAGAATAAGAGGGGAGCAAAAAAAAAAAAAAAAAAAAAAAAAACAACAAAGAAAAAAAATCAACATCAAAAATAGATTTACATAAAGAATAGAACCTTTTTATATGGAAATCCTTTTCTGTATATATATATATTTATATATATTTATAATCTGTGAAAATGATACATCAAAATCTTATTTCCATATTTACACTTTTTCCTTCTCGGGAGAACTCCATCCATCACTCACTTGCTTCCATATCCAACAGTCTCCTGGTCTGGCAGACAGTGAGCTCATAGAGCAGGGAGCTCCAAGGCCTGGTGACAAAATGCACTGCGTGGCCAAAGATCAGTTGGAGCCTGCTACCAGCTTCCCAGTGGTTTGTAGTTATTGGGCTGCAGATTCTGCTTGGGGTCAGCTTGCTAGCTTGGTTGTTTATAATGTGAGCCATGCAGGTTACCCTTTCAAAATTAGCTTCTCATGCCACCGGAGTTTGTTAAGAGAAAGGAAGTCATGCGAACGCAAGTGAAGTTAGAGTGCCTGTAGGCTGGAAAAAAATCTCTTGCTATTTCATGATTTTTGAATAGTTCTCTTATTGCACTTGGTCTTTGTCTCTTCCTTTGTTTGAGAAAAGAAAAAAAGAAAACCGATTTTGAAATAGTTTGCTATTAACTTATCAGTTAATAATAACCAGTGAAAGGTGAATGGAGGAAGTATTTTCAACTTATCTCCAGAAAGGACAGTTTTCTCTCTCCTCAATTCCAAACATCTCAACGTTGTGGTTGTAGCTATGGTTTATGTTCTTCCTTATTTAGTTCCTGCACAGCTAAAGATATCATACCCAAAATCCAGTAGTGAAAGAAGCAGCTCTTTAAATTGCATTTCTTCAGATAGGGCCTTGTTGACTTGGATCGAACCTTCGTTTTTTGACATTTCTTCCAGATTGCATCAAAAGGAATAGGGAAAAACAAGAAAGGCAGATCGTTAGTTAGTTATGACAGGAAGAAAACCAAAGCTGAGGTCATAGTAAAGTAAAAGGCTCACAGTGAGACAGCATGTAACATTTGCAATAAGGAATTCGGTCGTGTGCTTTCTGTAGCATAGTAATAAGTATTAGTTTCTTTATGAAGTTTAAAAATCATGATGGTATACAGAATCTATTTTTGTAGTAGTTGAAGGGGTCTGTATTTGTTGAAATGCTCAAACCATAGTTGTGTGCGTCCACTAGGCCAAGAAAGCATGCATGCATGTGCCTAAGCAAAGTGAGCCAAAAGTAGTATGTAAGCACACAGAGACTTGGGTTCTCAGAGCAGGTGCTCATCTTTGGTTATATCAGAATTTAGTTTGCAAGTTGTATGTGAGGAAGCCTCAAAGTACCTTTGTGAGCTCTTACCACACTATTGACCACAATTGCTGTGAATCTCATTAAGGTGCAAAATACAGCAAAGACATCATACTCGAAGGAGACTGGACAGTTCTGTAAGTTGTAGTCAGAATTTACTGTTAAAAGCAGATAGCAAGCCAGTAGGTGATATCCAGGCTCCTACGATACTGGTATCTACCCTATGTCAAACAGCAAGACATCACAAAGCAACAACAAAAGTTAGGTGCAACCTCCCCGGTATCTGGCTTTATGTGGGGCATCAAGCAAGGGGCTCATGCATTTAGTTGTCCCACTGGGCATATGCACCACTACCGCCACCAAACTGACATGCAAAAAATATGGAACAGGAATTCACAAATTCCCTAAAAGCTACATACCATCCCCAGGATTTCCTATGTGCTGCAGGCCCGCTAACTACTATAACTGCTGAAATATTAGTAAGTATACTATAGGCAAAGCTTTCCTTGTGGTTAAGAGACTAACAAATGTGTGCAAAGGCAAATTCTTTTTGAGAAGACTGCTAAAGACTGGTCGTTCCTGGGCATCTTTTGTTTGGTTTTTGAGTACCACTGTCTACTTGTTTGTAAGGTGTGTGCTGTTTAAGAATGACTGGCTTTTAAAATATCGCTACGTTCATCTTTCTAAGAGTTGTCTTCCACAAGTACTGGAATAACACCCGCTGGGCTAATACTACTTCAGTGTTTCACTGTATAGCAGATAAGTTTGAGGCGAGCATATACTTTTTTTTTTTCTAGGTCAACTTGCTGAAACTGCCGTATTGTAAACAGTACAAATATAATGCCCTCACCCTGCATCTGACCTGACCAAACAATGCTCATTCTCTAGTTTCATCTAGCTGAAATACACACTTTGAGGAATGTGATACTAATTAAATTACTGTCTTTCTTCACTTAGGATATTCTGGTAACAGTGTGGTACGAGGGGGGAAAAAAACCAAACACCTGACACACCAGAAAAACATCTAAGGTAAGAATGCAAAATAGTCTCTGAAATCCTAAGTATCAGGTACAGTGTGAACAGGGCAGCATGGTACACACATGTAAAACATCAACAAGGGCCTGCCACATCTTTCTGCTGTGATCTCAGTGCTTTACAGAGCTGTACAGTAAGGTGCCACCCAAACTTGCCTTACAATTTCATCATGAGTTATCAACCATTTTAATGCAAAAATGAAGACAGTATTCTTAAATCAGCAGATAGAATAAGTTGCTGTCTTCCCATAGAAAATTACAACAAAAACTAGGTGACTATCACATCCTCGGTAGCTGCAGTCCACACCGTTTCATAGCTATGTTTTATAGCAGCACAAGTTTCTTGTACAGCATTCAGCTAAACATCAAGTAAGCTTCTGCTAAATCTCCGTGGCTCTGGTCCAATCACATCATCTAACTAGATGCATCTCCAGGGCCTGCTTTCATACCTGCCTATTACTTTGGGCCCATAATCACGCCTAGCTGCACACAACTAAAGTATCTGAAGAACAGGAGCTCTGAGCACTTGGCCCAGGACACAAACAACAGCGCTATGCTGAAATAGCTTCAGCTGAAATGCTGAAGTAGCAGTGCAAACATTGCATAGGTAGAGCCTGCGTCACAAGATGAATCAACTTTTCTGTTAGAAAATCAGTGGAATGTTTAAATGTATGACAATAATTACCTGTGATACACAACTGAAAAAATTAACGAAATAACCTTTAAAATTCTTCCCTCTACCTGAAAAAAACAAGTCTGCTCTCTTTAAACAGTGCAGCAAAAGCAATTTGAAAGCTAGGGGCTACAGCAGACCACACAGAAGGGTGCTGCATTTCTTTGTTGTTTCGTGTAAAATAATAGAGTTTTCACTTTAACTTCTTGCAATTAATATTTTAATGCCTGGTTAAGTAATGCCTCTCAGCATTTCAGTCTCTGATCCGACCAGAAAAACACCTAACGTAACCAGAATTACAGACTACTGTGAATCAAAAAAGCAGACTACACTGTAAAATGATACAGCTGACACTGTCTGCATAATATGGTTGTCTTTACAAATGAGAAGTATTTCAGAATATTTTTTAGAAGGCTCAATATATGCAAGAAATACCTTTCTGTGTAATCCTTAGCATTATTTCCCACTAGTTAGTAATATGGTGACACAGTAAATTACTTCGCAGTCCTTTTCTTAACTACATAAAAATTTATTCCAAACCGCTAGTTTAATCACTTAAAATAACCAATGTTTTTGTAAGCATTCCTCCTAACGTAGGATTCAAATTCTGGTTTAAGAGATTAAATAAATAACACTTTTCTTGAAAAAAAAAAAACAAAAAAAAAAACACAATACCTGATTGGAATTAAGAAAACAAGAGGCTAAAATTAGCAGCTTAAAATATTGACCTGCTATTTATTGTAATAGTTTAAAAAAAAAAAAAAAAAAAGGGAGAAAACACATTGTGTGATTCTAACACTGATGTCTGTGTAGGTAATGGCTGTATCCAGGTCATGCTGCATGCGGTAAGGAAGGGCTGGTAAGGGACTGAAACCTCATTCCTCATCAAGTGTCTTACTGCTTTATTTTGCATAAGCTTTAGGGGTCTACATGCATTTGCATGGACCAGCTAAAAAAGTAGCATCTATATGGACTGTGCAAGTCTTCAGTCTAACTATTAATCCTCTGCTTAAAAAACAGAAAGCTTGAGCTCTAGCTAAGAAACAATTGCTGGAACTATACAGAATGGTACCTATGATCAGTTCTTCCCTGTCAGTGAAGTGATACAATGAGAAGCAGCTTTTCATGTGCTTTCCCCTAGTATTGATTCTTAGCAGCACTGCTTCATTATTAGAAATTGCCGTAATACTGTTAAAGCCAGCAACAAAGCATTTAATTGTCTTGTACTGCTTTCCAAGAATGAATATACGCTAGAAAAATAAGCAATCATATGTCCCTTAAACTGACATTGCAGCAGCCAATACAAAAAGCCCACATTAAAAACTACTCTCACTGTAAAAACATCCTTCCTAGATCAGTCCTGTATAAAATGTCACATACTGAAATCTTGCACAGATTTGCTACATTGAAATGAATGTCATGTTTCGTGAATACCGTATTTCTACGTACTTCCCAGCAGAGCAGAGAGAAATATGTAGTGCAGTTTAAAATCCAACAGCTTTACAAGTACTATCCAGGCTCAACTGAAGTAAAATCTACATCCTAACGAGGTTTCCTCTCAAAGCCTTTAACTCCAAGCCAGAAATGTTTAATGAGACTCTTATATCCCTGAAAATTCAATCAGTCAAACTTTTTTCTTCCTTAGCCTATCCACACATCAACTTGATTAGAAAAATTAATCTAGAATTCATTCTTGAAACTGGAAGTCTTAACCTCATTTCTCTAAGCTTGCATCAAGCCGCCTTTTATGCTTCCCCCTCAAGCCTCCCCCCACCCCATCTCAGTTCATGAACAAAGTTTGCTTAGTTGCAGCTTACGTTTGATTTGGACTTGACACCACAGTACCGTATGGTCATATGAAAATCTGATAACCTGTGAAACAGAAATCACATCTCCCAGTTTGTAAAGCATTAGCTACCTTCTCTCGTATTTGCAGAGACTAAACATATTGCTTGCTTTTAAAGGACACATTAAAATCCTCATCTGTCTCTCCAGATAGATTTGAAGCAAAGTATGAGAGGGTCTACGTGTGCTAGCCCTCTTTTGTACACAAGTTGAAAAGCCACCAACCCCCAAAAGAAACATGCACTTCAAGCTGTGAGCTAGGCCAGGCCGGTGTATTTGAGGTTCTGCTACAGAATGAGCACTTGTGTCTTGCTCTTATAAGAAGAGCAGCTGCAAGAGACTTTTCCAATACAGATTCTCTACAGAAATAACAATTTTCTACAAATACACAGGCAAAGGACTGACAGCAGGATGCAAAGTGGAACATTTGTGAGAGTAGCTGAAGGGAGGCAAAGCACAAATTAGAAATAAACTATCAAATATTGCATTATTTAAGACAGGGAGGAATTGTCTAACCATCTCTGCTCGTGCAAACTTTCGAGTGTACGCATACCCACACTGCTTGCAATGCTAGCAGCTGCTACAGAAGGGCTGCAGTTTGGGCCGCTGGTTGTTAAAGCATGAGCTAGCTTACAAAGGGGAAGAAAACACTTTTTGTGTTTTAATTTTGTTTTTGTAAATTTGTTTTTAATTTTTGTGTTTTAATGAGTTGTAGTGTGCTGTCAACAAATTATATTTTGCATTACAAGTTTGTTATTCAGGAGTAAATACTGTGTCAGAAAAATATAGATGCTATTAAAACACATCTCTGACAGCAGAACGCTGGTCCAAAAGGAAAACTCAGTTCTTTCAGCAAAATGTACTTGTGGTGTTCCTAATGTTAACAGTTGAGAAGTCTATATATGATTGTTCTCAAAAAAGAAAGCTTTTAACAGAAATATTAACACAAGTCTCACACTTTGATTGTATTTAGTTGAAAAGCTAATTGCACTGAAGCATTAAAAAAAAAAACCAACAAATCAGTTTGACAGCTTACCTGACTTTTTCTGTGTTGCTTACATACTTTGTTTGTTTAGGGAAAAAGAGATTTCCTATAATTTAGTGTCTTCTGGGATACATTTAAAAAAAAGTGCATAAATTAATTAATGCTACAGAATATGCCCAGTAGGTACTGAAATTCTGAGGGAAAGCTCAATGCTTAGACTGCACCTACACATAAAGACATCTTCCAATCTATCAGTTTCAGTCTCTCCCACAGCTGAATCCAAATCTGTTACTGAATACTCTAAAATGCAGACCTCACTGGAATCCCTTGCTTTGAGCAATAGACAAGATGAAGTAACACAACAAATCAAATGTTCATTAACAATTTTTTTTTTAATTGTTTATAAATATGAAAAACATTTATCTCAGAAATACTATGAGACTACAAAAACTATATGGGACTATATTAAAATTTTGGTGCTTTGAGATACGCTGTGGCAACTACAAGTACTAGAGGCTGACCCAGGGATGTTGACTGTACAAATAGGGGGACTTAAATTATTTAACCGAGAAGGAGCTGTAAAAAAAATAACCAAACAAAACCAGAAGCTCAAGGTAAGTAAATCTATCAGCAGGTGTTAAAAAGACAACCTACCTATGCTTAAAAATAATGATTAACTGAGGTTTTTTTGAAATGTTGGATAAGATCTGTTCTTACTGAAGCAGAGGAGCCTGGAACACCAGTGCTGCGACTGTGCCAGTGCCAACGGGATGCACAGGGAGCGCTGCCGTCTCTCTCACCGCCAGCTCTGCTGCATCGCTCGGAGCCCAGAACAGCGGTGGGAGAAATACCAGAAAGAATGCAGCAGGTCCTGGGTCCTTCTGAAAGCACCAACACTGGAAAGCAGTTCCACAGGAGGTAAGAACTGTATTTTCAGAAGAAAGGGCAAACTGTTTTGTTTTCACCTGGGCTGAGAGATAGTTAGCTGCATTTTTCTTCTATATGCATGTGTCATTATGGCCACCGGATCCTAAGAAAATGAAATACTCAAAAATAAGACAACAAATGTTTTTAGGTGACTTTGAAACTGAATGAACAGATAAGCAGGCCTGATCATTATTTTCTATTCTGATAAACTTCTTAATCAATTAGGAAACTTTTTTTTTTCTACTTCTCAACTCAGATATAGAATATGAATACGGACCATATATTATGTTCTTTCAATTATTATAAAACCCCAATTGAGGAATTAGCTTGTCTTATTATGGCTCGTTTTAATTCACATTATTGAAAAGCAACAGCAAAAAATATCATGAGAAATTACTTGTTGCTGTGCTTAGCACCGATTTTTAAGGCTAAAAAACCACTGGTTCTAAATTAAGGCCCTCTTTAACAAAAATTGGACAGTGTGTGCATACAGACTTCACACTGCCAGAAAAACAAGAACATTTGTTCTCTTCTTTAAGACTTAAGACTCTTCTTTAACAGTTACGAGTAGAATGACTGTAGTCATTCCACTTGTAACTCTTGATAAGAGTTGCTACTTGCTCTTGATAATAAAGCACATTGAATTGAAATGGGTGAGAACAGTTTTCATTTTCCAAAGAGCTTTCAAAATGTTCTCTCAAAACCTAAGCTGAAATTCTTTAAAAAGTTGTGAGTCAATAATAATACCAAAAAAAAAAAAAAAAAAAAAAAAAATCAGCAACAAGAACCAAAAGTTGGCCCCAGTATTTCTGAGACAGCTGTTTCAGCAAGACACTTTTTTTACTTAAACTATTCACCTACTGCCAGTACGCAGCATTTTCACATAAGAAAAACTAATATTTAAAAGACCATAGTTTTAATGTACTATAATGTATATATAGTATGTATATTATATATATATATGTTTATATATATTATCTATTTATATTATATTATATATTTATATATATACTATATATATCATGTATATTATATTATATATATTATATATTGTATATTATATATATATATTTATATATATAAAATGTACTGTTCATCCCAAGTGAACAGCCTTAAGTAATCATGGAATTGAAGGGACCTGAAGAGATCATGAAGTCCAATCTCCTGTAAAGCAGGTCCCTATCACAGGTTGCACAGGTCAGTCACTGCTACCTGCTCAGTCAAATTCATAGGCAAAGAAAGGTATTGTCTGCTGCAGAGGGAAGGTTAATCTTGAGGAAGCCATAGCTGTTAGCAGTTAGAAATTTATCATTTGGATTTTTTAAACCCTTGTATTCAATTTCTCTTGAAAGAGAATGACACCACTAGCTGGAAGTGAAAACAAGAGCTTGCTTGCTAACTGTAGATGAACTCACGAATGTTAAATTGTTTCTTTTGTGGCTGTTCAACTTTGCACCCTGATGACGTTGGCTTGTTTTGAATCCATTTCTTCTGCTTGTTAAGCACGCGTGTAACTTTCTCTCTTTAGTTTACTGTCAATTGCATAGGAGTTAACTCAAAACTCTTGTAGCAGGAACTCAACATTCAGTGATGAAAGCAAGAAATAGAACTGCCAGAGCCACTGAAGAGAAGACATGCGGCATTGCTTACTTAAAGCCCCATCCTGTCCCCCCAAGGACAATAGCTGCTACCAGGATGGCACCAGCGATGGAGCCTATTATAAGATTGGTGGCACTAGGACCTGTGATAAAGGATTACGGTAAGAAAGATGTAAAAAAAACAACCACTATATTCACATAAAGTGAAGCAACTTAAAGGGTAGTCAACAAGTTAAGGAATGTAGACAGCACGCACAGGGTGATGGCTGTAGACAATTTCAGCAGGCCCAATTTACTTTTAACAAGAGAATGAAGAAATCTGTTGGTCTCTGCACTGTGGGCTATGTTAACTTCTACCATAGATAAACATCTAGTATTAGAGGGTAAATTCCACTTTTCCTGTTATCTAGTTAATTGATTTTCAATTAAGACATTTTCAACTGAGATGTTTGTGAAGAATTACTTAACTTAAAGGTAAAAGTATAAATGCTGTATGTTTTATGACTACAGCAAATGGGGGGAATAAAAAAATCACAACCCCCTACTTAATACGCACTGTGAAAGGTGGTAGATGCTTGAATTTGAGCTGACAGTATCTAGCACCACTTGCTGAGGCCAGACTTTTCCTAGTTATGTCAATGCTAAGTTTACAAACAATTCTTGACAAAGGAAAGGATTACATAATAAGGACAGAAGTTGACATAAAAGCTGCATTCCCATTAAGCTTTCCAAACATCAAAGCGTGTCTTCATCACATCTTCAAGAAGCTACTTAACAACAAAGTAGGGGAAGGGTGGAGCAGGAAAAAAAGAGCAACAAAAAGCAGCAGCACAAAATATATTTGTGCACTTTTCTGAGGAGGAAGAGAACACCTAAATAAGAAATTCATAACTGAACCTTAAGCGCTCTACTTTCACAGAGTGCAAGAAAACAGACAATACAATTGAGCATTTTACCATTTTAATTGCTCTGCACAAAAAAAAAAAGCCTATTGAGCAGTCTTTGATGTAAAGGTAATTGCATTGCATCTGAGCTCAAGGCAAATCGAAACCAACACAACAGTTCTTTTGCAATACATTGCATACTGTGTTTAAACATTTAAATATTCAGGAGTAGTCTTTAGAAACAGTTCTTAGCTCCTCCTCTCCCAGTCTCTGAAAATCAAAGTTTCAACACAGCAATAAAATGATGCTGAGTTTTGAATGTTATATGACAGCTAACACAAGGGAGAAAAAGGAGTAGCCAGAGATCAGCAAAGGAAGGACAGCTGTAGTAGTTTGACATTTTAACCTTCTGCCAGGCCCCAGACACTACAAAAAGAAAGTACCCCAGGGTCTAGGATTTAGAGCTGTGACTTAACTTCACTGTATCCATCTCATACTTGCTGTATCAGTGCTCTGGGATATACCAGTAGCTAAATGTAAACTAAGCCCTCAGTTTATGTTAGTAACACTAATCAGAATGAAACAATTACTCTGCAAACATGTCATGAAGTGATGCTGAAAATAAGTATGATTTATCACTATAAATAAGTAGGCATAAAACTCAGGTAAAATAAAAAAGTACTTTCCCCTCATCTTGCATGGGGGGGAAAAAAACAACAAAAAACTACCTTGTATTCTGCCATGAACTTCAGTTAATACTTTCCTTTCTGAGGGCTACGCATTTACTTCAAGAAGAATGATTATTTGCTACAAGGAAGCATAGCAAAATTATACAAGGCTTAAACAGTATCCTAAGCCTTTGTTTCAAAAAATTGCTTCCTGCAATTCATACAAAAAGAATATTTAGTAATATTAATAAAAAAACTGGAAAGAAATAGAGTGAGCTTTACAGATATGAGCAGCACACAAATTTTACAACAGTAATTAAAAGGTAATTTTTCACGATTTAGAAAATACCTTGCATAGACTTACCTTTGAAGCCTCACCTGGCTCTAAATTAATAGGAGTAAGTATGGTGCAGGGTAAATGAATGCCATTTGATGGGCACTGTACTCCCAATTAAGGCTTGCTTTCAACATTTCACGACCTAATGAGCTATTGTATCCAACCTGGATGTATGGCTTATTCTGGATTTAATCAAATGATTGCACACAACAGAAGACTGCAAACACAGAAACTAATTGACCTGTAAACAGTTCTAGAAACCTTGTTAAACTCTAAAGCTGATTTCTTTCCAGCCATAGAATGCTCTCTTTCCACAGAAAAAAATATAGGGATTAGAATATAAATTAAATATGGATTAGAATATAAATTACATCTTTATCCAATTTATTAAATGGCCACTTTTTAACATCTCTGACTGCATTACCTGGTTGTTAAATATTTGAAAAAAGACTGTGGAAAAATTCAGTGAAAATTCAGACAGAAGAGAGATCTGAGACAGGTTCAGTTAATGGACAAGTTACCAAACTGTGTTAAATAATAAATGAATCCTAAGCAGCCATTTTTCATAGAATGGTTATGGTTGGAAGAGACTTCTAAAGATATCATCCACTCTTCCTGTTATGGGCAGGGGCACCTCTCACTTGGCCAGGTTGCTCAAAGCTCCATCCAACCTGCTGTTGAACACTAACAATACTGAAGCATCTACAACTTCCTCAGGCAACCTGTTCCACTGCCTGACCACCCTCATTGTACAAATGTATTTCTTATATCCAATCTAAATTTATCTCCTTTCAGTTTTAAAACCATTGCCCCTCGTGTTGCTACAGGGCCTGGTAATCTCCATCTTTCCTGCAAGCCCTGTATACATATACAAGAATCAAACAGCCACTGCTAAGATTGAGTTAATAGGCAGACACTTAAGATTTCAGTTCCCCAAAATTATGAAGATGGTAAAAACTGCTTATATGTATTCACATATGAATTCTATGCTTCAGTATTCTACTGTCTCATGGTAATGGAATACTAGAAACAGAATAACTGGAAGCCTTACTGTAAAATTATTTGTTTATATATACTACTAAATATAATATACTATACTACTATATATACTATTAGCTAACAGTTATCAGACTAAAAGCCACAAAGAACATGTTTCTGCTTTTTATCAAATAGCCCAGGTCACCCTGATTCTATTTTGCAAAGTAATTACAAACATACTTTTTTTTTTCCCCATTGTTTTCTGAATTTGGTGTAATGTAAACATTCAGACATTTAATTTCACTGTGACAATTAAAAATTCACAAACTCATTTGTTTTATGCCCCACATTATCCCAGACAGGAGAAGGTTCAACACTGCATGAGCAAATCAGACGACACAAACACAGTCAAGTCACAGACAAATACGATCACCACATGACAAAGCTAAAGGGGTAAATACACAGGGGGCTCAGGTGCATACGGTTACCTCACACACCAGGCACCAAACATAAAACTCAAACTACGAAAAATGCTTACTCTATTCCCCACCCTGTGCCTCCAAAAATCACCCCCAAGGCCAGAATGGTCCCTGCCACTGCACCTATTAGCCTGTTAGTGGCCATGCTCACTGTGTGGAGGGAAAAGGGAAGATTTTTTAAGAAAAGGATCACACCATATATGTCTGAAATGAAAACACGAAATAATTCCTCAAAGGAATACTTTATAAACTTTTGTCTGGTAAACAATTCAAGCCTCTTAGCAAACTCTCATTTACCAAATACCGTAGCTTTAAAAATTCAGATATAAGTTTTGTCTTACTTGAATGCCTGCAAATATTTCAGCGAGTAGTTTTCCCATAAATGTAAGACTACTTCTTTTAGCTTGTGATTGTATTCTTGTTTACTTAAACAGGGAACGTCTTCAACTTACTGCTTTACTAAGTTTAAAACAGCCAAAACATAAATGAATTACCAACAAGAAAATTTCCTTTTGGTCATCAGAAACATACTGTATCCATAGTATATAACTAAGCAAATGAAAACTGTTCATTTAGAAACAGTTCTTTTGTGTGGGAAAAAAAAAAACACCAAAAAATTATTTAAATTAATTCCTTTACTTGTTTGCAGTATTTTCCTTTGTTACATTATACATTATATAAATAGAAAGACATACAACACCTTTTAAAGGGTAAAACTGACCCTGGAACTGTGCTTCTGCACAACGTTCTGCACTTCAGTATGTTTACAGAGCCTTAATATGCTGAGGCCTTATTTCTCATTTTTGGAAGAAACTTTTTGAGGAAAAAAAAAAAATCAACTATATTTCAAACGTTGAAAAAAAAAAAAAAAAAAAAAAAAGTTAAAATGTTGATAGATTCATTGCATCCTAATTGAACATAAACAAGCATATGAATACTCTAATGGGAACTTTTTCAGGGACAAAGACTATATCATCTTCATGCTGGGAATCTTTTGAAATTGCTTCTTAATTTTGTTTGTTTCATATACACAGACACACACACACACACACACACACTTGAGACGTAAGTTTTCGTGTTAAAAACAAACAAACAGTATTCCACTAGTCAAACAAAGTCCCAGTTCCATAAAGGACAATGCCAAGAAAAGCCCTGTGTGTATATGGAGTCCCACCAACTTCAAAACCATTAGCCAACACTGTAAAAAAAACACTGTTTCGCAGTAGCCAAACACTAGCAGCAGGAGCTCCTTCCCAAAACACCTACCATCCTGAGCTGCTCTCCTGTGGGTCTGCTGGTACGGTAGGTTGCAGAGTTTAGACTAATTGAAGACGTGTGTATAAATGTACTTAAGGACCACTAATTTTTAAATCCTCAAATACAGTATAGAGGCACCAGTAATTGATGGATGATACAGAATTCTCAAAAGTGCAGCAAAAAACTGAAATTATCAGCTGTCATAATACTAGATAAACAAATACCAATACTATTTTCCTATACATAGTTAAAACATAGTAAGAAAAATGCGTGGAAAAAGTGTGAAAAGTTTTAAAGCAATTTGAGTTTTCACATCTCTGAAAAGCTATATAACCTCTCCCTAAATAATTACCTTCTTCTTACCATAAGGTAAGTAGCTGAAACCAGACGAAATTAAAGCCCTCAACTCAGTAACGTACCAGGGCTCCCAAAGCTTTTGACAGCGTGCAAAGAGGATTCTGGTTTATTTATTTTTTTTCCCCCTCTTCTATCAAAGTATAACACTTCCAACAGAGGTACTAAATTTAATGCAAAGAGCTCATCAAGAGGTTGCTCTTGTAAGAAAGAGCTGGTGTCTGTACTTGTATGTGGTATAAGGAAATAGATGGAAGTAATCTGGATTTATTTGAAATGATGACTTGTAACAGAACTGTAGAAGGACTAGAAAACATTTGCCAGGGTTCATGTAAAAAATCTTGCTATTACAAGACAAAATAGCTTTCTACTTTTTTGCAGGTACTTCCTGGGAGATTTCAGTCTGAATCTGTCAAATATCTAAACTTCTGACAGTCAAAACTCAACACACCTGCTGCCATAAGTGACAAACTTGCTTATTGTAAAGAAGAAAATAGATCCAACATTTTCTAATACAGAGGAAAATAAGTACATCTACAGTGTGATACTTGAAAACTTTTTCCATTTTCTTTACATGTGGACATGTTCTTTGAAGAGCAAGAAAAACATAATTCACTGTTTTCCACTCATGAGAATATAATTGCTTTAAACTCTCATGCATTTACTGCAGTCAGTAACCATGATCAAAACTGCAAAAATTGAAGGTTTGACACACAGGTATGGCTATTACCTCTGCCTATGCTTGATTTCTTGCATTTGCTTGAGTTTAGACAGTCAGATTATATTCATACTAGATATCACTCTCTGATGTTGGATTTGGTTGAGATGTGATGATGTTCTCATAATTGACTCTATGTTCTATTTTTTTTTTAGTTTTGTGAAAAGAAGACTGGTTCTGTCTCTGAAATATAACAGAAATTTAGGGCTAAGGAAAAATGAGTATTTTGGTTTCTGTCTCAGACTTGTACACTGGCAATGACAAAGGAAGCACTGATAAAATAATGGAAATTATTTTAGTACTCTGGATCTTTTCAGAACTATGGAAAATTATTTCTGTACTCTGTTGACATCATCTCTCAATGGAATCCTCTATTAACACACCTAAGGAGTTTATAGTATCTGTCAGTATTCAGGTTCCTAAATTCATTTGTAGGTGATTCAACATCAATAAATTACTATAAGAACATACAAAAATAATTCCTTTTTTGAAATTCTTTGAAATCACATTGTAACAAAAATATTCTCCCTCTTTTCAGTGGAGTCCACTGAAAACTGGAGTATAAACTACATGTCTGTCCATTTGAAATTATACCAATTAGTTTCAATTACCAGAATCTAACCAAGATGAATATACCTCCTCTGTTGCTTTTTTTTTTTTTTCTCCCTCTAAACAGGATGAAATAACTGCTTAGGATTTGGAAATCAGCAACACAGTACTTCAGATTTTATAAGCAGTGTTTCAACATTAGGAAAGTAGAATGATAAGAATCTCTGTTAGACAGCGTACGAACAGGCAGCTCTATAAGGAACTGCAGCAGGGTTAGGTGTCCAGGAAGTACCTGCAAATACTTGCAAAGAGAAATCCAGACTGTTCTACACAGCTTCCTTCATGCTAGGAACCTGTTCTGAGATGGCCTCTTCCACAGTTCTTGGTAAAGCTCTACTGGAACCCACTGGACCAAAAGATTATGGCAGACCTGACAGAACTGGAGCAATTCTAGAGGGACACACCAAAGTTCTGCCTCCTCATCATAGAATCACAGAGTATCCCCAGTTTGAAAGGAGCCAACAAAGGTCATTGAGTCCAACTCCTCTGAAGCCCTGGACACTTCAAAGAGTGATCAACTGCAGTGTAAGTACTACATTTTTAAGCTTCTTTTCATCAGCTTTATAGAATGGTCTGAAGACTTCAGAAATGCAATTTAGCTGCAAAATTTTGTTCACGTTTATAATTTGCTTATTGCTTTATCTGCAAACACATAATTCTGGATGAAGACAGTCTGATAAGGGCAATGTCCTGATGACAGGAAAAGTTTAAAAACCTTAGACAGCCCAAGGCAGAGAAGTCAAAGAGAATCTCAGATGCCTTTCTTCCCCTTCAGAAAACATTTTTGATTAACTATTTCCTCAATAACTCCTCATATTCAGCTGAACTGAATATCTCCTATATAAACAAGAGTAAGCAATAATGGTTGTAAGAATAATAAAAGTCCTGAATATTTTTTTTTTCCTCTCCCTTGAAATCTCAATGCCCCAGAACCAAAGCTGTTTTCACCAGGAACACTCCACTTCTTCCAATTTCTTATTCCACAGTATCAGAATTGTGTGAGAATGGCTAAGGAAAGTGGAAATCTCTAATAAAATATAAATACTCAGACATGTAAAGTAGAAGAGCTACATTTAGTGAGCTTCCAATCACACACACAAAAAAAAACACCCTGAAAAAAAGATCAAAAAAATAAGAAACTGCATATTGCTAACTATTGAGATCTCCCCAAAATGTAAATTAGAAAAATAGTTTAATCAATTCTCAAAGGAGGAAGACCTACATCATTTACATGAAGCAGAATTTTACTGCAGTACTGACACACACGCACAAAGAGTAATAAATATTTGAAATAATATCAAAACTGAAATCACACAAACCCTTGGATCCTTCATCTTTCTTGTTACCAGTATCCCTGATAGGATCATCAATACTGCAGTCTGTCCCAGCCCAGGAGAAATTACAAATACAAGTGGCTTCATTACTGCAGACCTGGAAAAGAAAATAATAAAATACAGTTAAAAAGCAATTGCTGTTATTTAAATTTATTTAACAAGGAATTAGGTAGTTAATTTATGGAATAAAAACTTATCTGTTCATATGTTATAGCAATCGCACTCAATGTTTAGAAAGAGTATAACAATGCACCAGTAGCCTGTAAGTTTGCTTTAACCTTCTAAAGATACTTGTATGCTAGGAAAAGTATAAATATACTTGTATGCTAGTTCCCAGTGATTCCATCATCATTTGCACAGGATGTAAGAGATAACAAATCTGATCCACTAACAAATTACCTACAGTCATTAGAGCTTCAGTCTGGACGTCCTGAAAGAATACAAACATTCATATTTAAAATGTTCAAGATTTGGTCATGCTTTACAGCCTCTGTTTTACAGTCACTTTCCATACAGAAAAACTAAGATTTTTCAGTGCATTTGTCATCATGAGAGGACGTGAGAATTAGACAAAACAAAAAAGGAAGTTTTGACTGACTGAGGGATTCAAAGGAAAATCAACTGTTAGGTACCAGCTAATAATATCTTTTGGACACTGGAACACAATATCAGAAAGTCAGACTAAGTAATGTGTGCATGAAGGATTAGAAATAGCATCTGTGATTTGTTTGTCTGTTGTTTTTTTTTTTCATTTAACTTTTATCTTACTCTGCTTCTTGAAGTATTCACTGGAGAAACTTATCTAGAAAGATGATAACAAATGCATCTTATTACAGGTTTGAACAACTGAAGTATTCTTTAAGAATAACTTGAAACGGAAAAGGTATCAGAGGTCTCTGACTAGTGCTGCTTTTCAAACATACCAAGATTTCTAGATCTCTTCTTCATCCTCTACATTCCATTTTTATAGTTTTTCTTAACTTCGCAAGGCTCAGATTCGCCTCTCATTTTCAGTTACACATAAGAAAAAAAAGCCTTTTATGTGCAAAATTCAGATCCTTAGGCAACTATCACAGGCTCACTGAATCCTACACTGGAGAGATTTTTAACAATCTTACCATTAAGACATACAGCAGTGGATCTGTTCTTCAAAACATTAGCATCTGAAGACAGACAAACTTACGGCTAGAAGAATATAATGCACCTGAGTGTAAAATGCTATAATTTGTGTATGTTCACAAAGTATGTTCATATCATCTCTGTTTAGGTTCAGCCTTTTACAATTTTAATTAAGTCATCAGGTATAATACAGGACCAACTTAATAAAGGCATTAGTATACAGGAAGAACTTTAAGGTGAGAAGTAGCTTGAAATATGGATAACATTTTACAGAAGTCTTTACAATAACTGATGTAAAACTTTCCTGATAATACAGCAACACTCTGGATATAGCTGCAGGTCTAATTTGATGATATTTTAGAAAGCAAAGTTGTCTCTGCTTCACAGAATGGCAACGTTCCCCAGAATCTTAACATGTTTTGTTTGTTTTTCAGATCAATGGGTCTCAGGAACGCTTGCAAGCAGAAAACACCACAGGGTACACATTAAGATCACATCTAGCAGAGAGAGCTGGAGAGGCTCAGCTGCAAACTGCAGGCACAGACTCACCCCATGACCGGAACAGACTTTTCCATTCGAACCAATGGGACAGCTGCTTATGTTCAAGGATTGAATTGGCAGGCACTTTTTGTCCAGACACATCATTTGAGGACCGCATGGAGCTCCATCCTCTACGTAACCTAAATCTGTATCATCATCTAAAAGAACATGAGCACCACTAGGAGAAATAAGTTTTAAGGTAATATTAGTATTATGACTGCAGTCTTTTGAAAATATTAAACATGTCAGTGTAGATAGTAAAATCCTCATGACTTTCTCACATTAAAGCATATGGGAAGATCAAACAAAATTACAATCTTTGTCCATAGCACGGACAAAGTGTTGAAGTAGTTGGACCAAAAAGAAGTCTAGATAATGAAGCAAATACACAATTTTGTGGAATAACAGAAGACTTAAGAATCATTGATTACTCAGGTTCTATCTCTCTAACAGAGCACTCTGCATGACAGTAATTTTGACGATATCTTTAAAATATAAATCCAGTAGTGTGCACAGTAAACTAAAACCTATTTACCTGCCCTCTAAATGAACCGTAGCTTAAGATCTTACCTGGTCACCACTCTTCACAATTCCCTTTCTCTCAACCATCACTTTTCGTACAGTTATTTCTCTGCAGATATTATCTTTAATCTATGGGTCTTTGGCAGTTACAATTATTTTTTTCCAGAAAAATATAATGCTGAACATCAAACTCTCAACCACGCAACTTTACTACTGTGGAGTCCAGATAGAAGGGTTGAGAGGGCAGCCCACTTTTCACCCTTTTTAAATATGAAATATTTTCTCTTAGTCACAAGAAATACCACTCAGAGTAATAATTTCACTGTAAGATATCAATTATTTTTAAATAATATATTTATAAATTTATCTTCATTTAACTAGATTTGACAGAGCAAAATCATCTTGAAACACTGCAGTATCTTTTACCTGCAGTCTACTATTCGTCCTTGATGATAAAAAGAATTTGGGATAATTTCTCCTTGAACTTGACCAACTCGTGGAACTTTAGTAAGATTAGTGCAGAGCAGAAAGCCACAGAAAACATCGCTGCAAAAACAAAAACAGAAGAGTTATGAAGTAGACTTGCCAAAAAAGAAAGACTAGATACAATGCTGCTAATGACAGTAGGTAATACATTGCCATAAGCCAGACAGCAGACATTCGGAGTATAAGTTTGGAACTACAGTACTACTGACAAGAGGCAGAAACAAGTAGGCGTGCATTGCAATGTGCCAGTGAGCAATATTTATATCACATTCACGTGAACAACAACTCATCCACGTTCTGTACTACAATGGAAAGGAACCAAACCGTACACAGCTTCGTAACACCAGGCTACATCACATTTTTGTACATTTAACATCTTCAACATTCTTCATTAATGTGAAGTTTGAATTTTTAATTGCTTTTTATTTCACTTGCAGGAAAACAGAAACATAGTAATAATGTGCAGAGCGCGTGTGTTAATTTTGGTAAAGTACATTCTTTATTTGTGGATTTTTTTTATAAGTATTTATACATACACCAAATCTCAGGCATTTGGATATAAAAGTGTGACTTTTTGCTGCCTCAGCCCCTACTTTCTCTGAGAACATTGAAATTATTTTATACTCTTTTTTTTTTTTAAACCTGGAATTCTTTAAAAGCATATTGCTGAGTCACACATGGATTCTTCAGAAACACCTATGGTACTTTTTCAAGCTGCACACATTGTGAAGGGGAGAAGATTCAAAATAATGCAAAACACTGCTGAATTACTGATGAAAAAGTAAAAAATACACCAATATTAATCTTTCTTTTTGACAGAAATCAGCTCTACTAAGCCAAACTTACTGTTTGCTACACTGAATCCATCGGTCTCCATCCTTTCCACAGTTTCCTTTTTTTGTGCCTTCTGTATTAAGCTTCTCATAGCAAAATTTGTCAGATCCTGAAGACTCTGTTGATGAACAAAAAAAAAAAAGGAATTTCACAGGTTATGAAAGTCTGCACAATATTTTATTGCAGCAGTTTTCTGGTATGGGAATACCAAACACACCAACACTACCTACAAATGGCTTTTCTAAGGTAATCCTCAGTGTTTACAATCTGCTTGGAACTATTCTAAAAATCAATCCTTTCAGTGACTGTATTGTTTTCTTCACTTGGATTTATCTGTAGTCTAATTTTGTTTACTTCTTAACATTTGCATATAACATTAATCTAACTTTTTCCACTGCAGAAAACAACAAAAAAAGGGTAAATAAGAGTCATTTGCAGTAAAATCACATGTACAGAAAACAAAACAAATGATAGAAATATAAACATGTGAGATGCAAATTAACAAAACTTCTATTGTTTTTAATATTATCAATAAAATAAGCATCAGAGGGCAGCATAACACATAAAAAGGCATCAGAACACAAACAAAATGTTATCTCCATCCAATTTTACACCTATATAGCATATTTTATATTGTGCTAAGATAGACAAGAAATGTTAAAGCTATATTTCTCCCCTCTCGTCCCCTGAAAAAGCAAAGATTCTTCAGTCTCAAGTAGGGAGCATCAGCATTTGCAGCTATGTTTGTTTAGATGGAATGCAAGAAAACATTCAGTCCTTGAGTCCAGGATATCCTCTGCTGAACTGTCTCAAAGTCATTGAACAGAACATTTATCCTCTGTCAGCTGCATAGTCCACAAATACAAGTTTATCCAACACATCTGGACTTAATTTTGTGATATGGATATTTAAATTTATACTACTGCATTAACTTTCTTGAATACAGGATGAGATAATAATGATAGAAGAAGCAGTTTTAGCATGAAACCAGTGCTAAGATAAGGGAACTGACAACTGTCATTAAAAAGAAAGCAACAAGAACAACCAAAAACTGTCAGGATCTATAAAAAAAAACAGACATCCTCAAACCCACTTTTCCTCCCCCCCGTAACACTGTTTTGAAGTTGCTAATCTCATCTAACCCCATGAGGGTTAAGTATTTACTGTTCTATCCATGTCTCATTGTCATCACTGCCAAATAAGCGTGCAACTTGAAATTTCACTTGGCAATCACGTCAGTTTCACACAGCAGCCTACAGAAACCCTACACTTACAGCAGGGAGAACAAAAAGTAAACATACAATCAAAGACAAGAATTAACTGCAAATAAAGTATGTTTAAGGTAAGAAAAGTCAACCTACTAGATCCCCAGATATATTTGCACTGATTATCTCTTGTCTTGCATTCACCGTTATAGCAACGTCCCTAAACAAAACACAACAGGTTAGCAATGAGAACTGAGCACTCGCCTTTCCTTTCCCACCCCTGACAAAATGTCCGATTTTATTCTTCACCCACATCTTGGGATGTGCAAGTTTTCATGAGTTGGAATAGATGGAGTACACATTTTTGCTCAGATTCTCAAAGTTGGTTGATGCCTAAGATGCACAGCAATTTCAGCAGCTACTTTATACTTCTCATTTACAGAGTCATACAGAACGTATCTACATGGATTATATATCTACATTCAAAATGCAGATACCACACAGATTCTGCTCAAGCTAAAGTTGGTACTATTCATGGAGTGTATAATGCACGAAAAACATCAATGTCCAAAAGGCAAATATCTATGCATAAATACAGAAGACAGGTTTTAAGAGAAAAAACAAAGAAAATTTGTATTTGGTTGATTTGTATTAGTTGATGTGCAGGGGTTTTAGAACATCACATACCTGATTAGAATCACAAGCATATCCATCTTGTTTATGAAGATTTGGTGGACACTTAAAAAAGGAAAGATTATACATTAGAAGATGACATATAGAGATTGCATGGTCTCAAATACGCAAACCATACAAAGGAAGTAGGTAATGTAATCACTGCAGGAATTTTCATAGCTGTTCATAAAAACTAAGAAATTGACTTCCTGAGCCACGAAAACGAGACTTGATTCTAACTTCCTGCATATCCCCAGAAGAAATTAAGGAGCTGGGGCAAAATAAAAATCAAAACAAATGTATTCATGAACAGGATATTTGATAGCTAATATTTGGGGATACGTTCGCTCGTGCAACATTTCCACTGCATTCATTTCAGTGCCATTAAGAGAAATCAGTTGTAGCCTACTTCCCCACAGACTCAAGACGTGTTTTATTATGATCATACTGTCACATTCTCTTGGCACTGGAAAATTTTGGTATGAAGAATTCATTAGCTCCAGAAGCCTCAGATTACTAAAGCTAAGAGTAGACCAGACTCGGTGCTTTTCTTCATCAAAAAGAGATCAGTGAAGGTTTGAAAAGGGTACAGGGCTGCAACATACATCACAGCCAATACTTCCAGAGCAGCTGTTCTAGATAAAGAAACCCTCCATCTACAGAATGAAAGGCTTACAACGAAATCTGTAAGTGTGAATGCCTCAAATGTTACTATGATTGTATCATCATCTATAATTACACAAAGAACCACGCGATCTACCCTGAATCTTATTTCTTCAACGCTAAGAACTGCAGTAGATGACTGCAGCAGAGTTAAGACATTCTTACGTAATCCTGAAGCAAAATTTGCAGTACTGAAAAGGAACACGTATGACCTAACCAACCAAAACTACTTTGCAAATAGAAGATGTGCTGAGTGTTGACTATCTTAAAGAACCCAACCTTTTGGCAGCTTAGCTTACTAGTTAAGTATTTTCAACAGAAATGCATAGAACTTTTAAAATTATCACAAGTGAACTCTTAAAAAGATAGCATTTTAGTCCCAATTTGTTGTAAGTGTATACATTTTACATAATTGCATTTCAAACCGTTTAATCTCTTAAAATCTTACTGTTACTGCCTTTGAACCTATTCACATGTGCAGTATATTCTCAGTACTTATTCTATAGAGTACAGGAGGATGTCTGGGATAAAAGCTATACCAAAACCCTCACGTAAGTTTTAAAAGAAAAATCATATTTTGAGTCTGCTATATTTTTAATTAATATTTATTTACTGAGCTTCTAATGGTTTGTGTACTTATGTTTAACAAATTTTGTTAGGACCAAATGAAAAAAACAGTCTCCTCTCTCTCCCCCAGCACAGTTATTTGTGAGCACACAATGCTGCATTTTGTTAGTCTGGATTTTTCTCTTGCAAATAAACATCAACAGTGTGAGCACAGAAGCTCCTTACATACCTGGCCAGAATCTCCCGTGCAGAACTCTGCAATATCACATTCATTCACAGCATATCTACAGTCATAGCCTCGTGGAAAAAACTAGAAAATGAAGAATATAATAAGATTAGGTAAAAGCAAAATGGAAAATTCCAGTTTGGAATGAATGCTCATTTTACTGCTCATATATATTTGTGGTGGGGTTTTTTGTTTGTTTGTTTGTTTTTGGCTAAGATCAGAACACATTCTCAATAACTATTTCCAAGTGATGAAAAAGATTTCAGTTTCTTCACCTTTTAAAGACTGTAAATCACAATTGGGAAGAATAGCAAACTACAACAATACTCACAAGACACGATGTATTACAGCAGGGTCCATCACTACAGTGAGCTCCATTAGAAAGAGAGCACTTCTTACAACAGTCTGCATAGCATTCCTGAAGAAAATATTAAGTGGTCTTTTTAGTTTTCTATTTAAATTAATTTTTTCTTCCCAATCTTTCCAACAATCATGTACCAGCACAAAAAAATCAGCACTGACAACTTGAAATTATAAGGTGGAAGAATCCTTTGTAATGCTCAGATAGTGAAGCAAGGGGAAAACAGTGGCATACATGCTATTGCAGTAAGGAGATACATACCTTCTGAAACCTCGGCACAGGTGCAGCATAGCACAGTGCAGAAAAACAATTAAGAAGACTAACCATGCGTAGCTATGTTAAAAGAGCAGAACTAGGACTCAAGGCTACAGGGCAAACTTTTGCAAAACAGATCTTAAATAATTCTGGATTAGAGAAGAGAACAACAGCTTCCTCATATTGTCTGAATGCAAACACCTTTCTCCAGCACACCAGCGAGGAACCTAACACTGCAGGCACAGTGTCCAAGGAAAGGAAAGGGGTAAATGATTCTACAGAATATATGAGGAAACAGCATGTCCTTTCCAACAAAAGGACAGGAAGACAGCTGAGGTCAGATCTCAGCTTTGCACTCACTCATTCTCATTGGAAGATGATGTTTAATGTAGTCCTTCCACTGAGTTGTTTCATAGCAAAAGGCAAAACAGGTCAATTTCCAAGACCTTTCCTCCTCTCTTACCAATCATTTAACTTAATGTATTTTGTGAGAATTATGTGCAACTCTTTACTTGCCATTCGAAAACCGCAATCGCATTCTTCTCCTGCTTCTACATAACCATTTCCACACTCAGTAGTTTCAAAGAGCTGAAAGCAAAAGAGCACCACAACCCAATTAATAACAATTAATAACTATTAATAACTTTGTAATTCACAAATTAAACTGTGTTTTTCGATAGTAGATGAAAATCTAAGGATAACTACAAGTGTGATTTTTTTATAACGTAAAATCAAAATTCCTGTCAGCCTTTATGCACAGCACTGGGCTAAAACTTCAAGGCCCTGTGAATGTTCTTCAGTTCAGCTGTTCTAATAGGCAGTTAGGACACTGTGCAATAAGCCATCATAGGTATAACTGATTTTATTTTTTTTTAATTTACATCTTCTTACCCATTTCTCAGTTACAGTATTTAACTAGTTTATTCTTATTACATTTTTCACTCATATATCCATTTTACAACTCTCCACACACTCCCTGTTCTCTCTCTCAGAATATCTACTGCCAATAACAACCTGATACTTCCTGCAAACGGTAAGGGTTATTACAGGTGAAGTCAGCCAGAGCTGACCAGAGCTTAATCACATAAAACTGCTTTAAAACTCCTTAAAGAATAAACAGAGGGAACACTAATGCCTCATTTAAAGGAAAGAAAGCACAAACTACATGGATAATCAATAGAACACACAGTTTTGGGTGCCAAATCAAAAGTATAGTGAAACAGTAAGCACATGTACTTTCTTGCCTAGCAATGTCAATACAGAAAATTGATTTTTTATTTCTTTCTTTGTTTTTTCCTCTCTGTAAGCCATTGACACTCCTATGCTCCTGTGGAAACACCAAGATCTGCTATTCAGAACCTGAAATTCAGTTTTCCATTGAACAGACCTGGTTATTTGGCCTGCAGCTGGTAAGATAATCAAAAGGGTCAGAGAATTGCAAGAAACAAAAAGCACATACACATACATCAGGGCCAAACTAAAAAGCTAGCATCCAAAACTTAAAAGTCAGCATCATGCTGACTGCTTAACATGAGCATGTTTTAATCTAAAGTTAAACATGCTATTTTCCACCTGACTTCTACCTCCAAACTATGAGATTAAAAAATGACATACAACTTTTTTTCCCCCCTGTTATTTCCTTTAATTTCAAGGCTGCAAAACACTAACACAGGTAACATATAAAGGGAATTTCAACCATTGTTGGGGCCACTTTTACCCAAGTAAACCACATTTTTATTCTGCATGCAGTCAATTTGATAATTACTACATATTGCCCTACTAGAAAATTATCCTATTTTAATCACAAAAGATAAAACACTTTTTCCTTTCTCTCTACTTACTTTTTTCTCTAATCCTTACATTCTTATTCTGTAAGCAAAAATTGCTACTTGAGGAAAAGATTAAAAAACACCAACAAGCAAATTTTTTTAGTAAACTGTGCAAGGTAGTTTTACGTAGCACAGAAAACACACTCTAATGGGCCATGTGATGCTGAATTCCACAAGGACAGCAAGTTTGACATCATGATTAAACAGAGTATTAATTACTGATTTGAAAAAAGTGCCAAATGGAGCATTTTTACACTACTTGGCTGCTTTAGAGGGATGTCATGCTCGCGTCACCATAGAAAAAAATATGACCTTGGTGAGTTTTTAACGACAAAAATGGATGGATGGTATAAGGAAATAATTATAAATCACATTTTGTTAATTTTACATCAGCAATGAAATGAACTTCAGTAAAAACAGAAGCTGCTGCTGTCTATATGCAGTAAACTATTTATTTGCCAATTAACAAACTAAGAAGTAGATTCATTCCTTTCAGTAACATCAAGCAAAAAGCTCAAGAATTGAGTGAACGTAGAGCATGCACTTCTGGATTTATTTTGCACTACTTCCAGCTTAACAGGCAGTGCCTTTATGCTAAAGTGATGTGTGTCTAGCTATGCAAATCAACTGCAAGGTTTGTCATTATTTGCAAAATTAGGAATTAATAGAAAACACATTATATGATTCCTCTTAAGGTTACTTTTAAATGCTATGGAAGTGAACATCCAGTTAACCACAAGTAGCCTCAAGAAAATCTGCACACGGATGTTTTAATAAATCCGAGAACAGATGTTTTAGTGGAACAATTTCATTTTCACTATGTTTAGCAGAGGTAGTGACTACCAACACGTTTATTACCTTTGTTGGCCTGTTGAAAAGACAGGCACCTCCCCCACGAAGTAAAAATTCTTTGTATTCTGCTATGCTGCACTTGGAGAATTTTCTGGAATGATATACCCTAAAATAGCAAAGAATCAGCTGAGTAAATGCCTTGAAATATCAACTGGAAGGGGGCAGAGGGATCATACCATTTTTTGTACTGTAAATCTCTTCCAGGTTTTCATTTATCAGTACTAAAACACACGGACAATGTCCAGTACATAAACGTTAATGTCAGAATGCAAACTATGAATTCATTCCGGAGCGCTCAGTTACTGACAGTAATGACGTACCCTGTTTCCTCCATGATGCAACCACCCCAGGATTCAGTGCAGTCACACTCTTCTCAGACAAGATCAAAATACAACAGAAAAGGAAAGCAGTTATAAATACCCTTGCAATAAAAATAAAGTACTCACAATAAACTGGACCATGACTAATTATACAAATCGTTCAAAAATTAACAGACTGCTTGGCTATACAGCCCTAAAAAACAGACCAACTGAAGAAATATTAATATACTTAAAATTAACGTGGTCCTTTCCCATCATATAAAAGTGCACACTTTTAACACAGTGTTTCAGGCAGTTTAGAATGCTAAACATAGCGGGCAAGATTCTTCCCCATGTGCTCTCAGCACAGGCAGTGTGAGTACACACAGTAACAGTGATTTTACAACTGCTCCCTTCACGTTGTGTCCTAATTCATAGATTTCTGAAGTGATTCTAAAATCAAGTCACTCTTATTACTCAGTTTTACAGAAGGAACAAAGAGATAACATAACCAAATTGCTTTAATTTCTTTGGCCCCCAAAATGACTTTTGCAGCAGCTTTTGTAATGCGTCAGGGCCACATCAAGCTAATTTTGTAGACGTGAAGCAGCCAGATACCAAGTTGGGCAAATGTCATTAGGTTACAGATTCTTCAATTTCTTCATCTGAAGTAAGGCGGTTTTTCTCTGTTTCTTTTTAGGTCCGGTCTATGGTTTTTAAGCTAGCAGTGTTTTTGCACAATGCATTTGAACGCTGATTATTAATTTAACCTCCTAACTCAAGACATTGCTGAGGTCATTGCAAAACAAGTGCTACACTAGAGATCTTCACTTGGTTAAACTCGAATATTGGTGAGTATATTTCAAAAAACAAAATTCCTCATTCTTTGGTTATAAGTATGACGTTCATTTCAAATATTACAAAGTAAAGAGTTCTTATAGCTTGAGGTAAGAAGGACAAGAGGTGGCTCCATATTCATGTACATACTCGGTTTCCTGGCAGCTGGCTCCCACTGTATTCCAAGGTTCTGAGCAAGGCTTTGTGCTAATTCCTGTGCCATGGCTAATGGGAGGCCATACTACATTTGAAGAAAAAGAAAAAAAGAAAAAGATGAATACAATGCCAGCTCATTTTGCTTTACTATGCAGCTAGTATTTCACAAAGTGACTCTGTCCAGCCAGTCACAATTATTTGTGCATACAGTAAAAATGAACACAATGAAGTACCTCACAGAAAAAATCCTCCTCTCTTATTCTGAGGGGAATCCTGTACACTGGTCAACATACAGAGAACAGTCTGTTTGATATATATATACATGCAATTTAATTACTGTATAACTTGATTAGTCCATGTCAAAACATGTGATTGTCATACTAGATCTAAGACTGCACTGAGGTTAAAAATATTAATAAGAAAAATATCAATACATAGGAGCTAGCTTTAACGATTTTAGCTTTTAAATTAAAAAAAAAGTTAGAACTACATCATCAGTACATCAGAAGACCAAACCTCTTACAGTAAAAGAACCTAGAAGGAATTGCGGTGTTATATTTCAAATATCCTACTCTGAGATTTTTGGTCCATATTTGCCAAATATGCTAAAAAAATTTCAGACTCCAGTGAGAGTAAAATGAAGATAGAGGGGATGCACTTTTAAACAAAATGCATAGTGGGCAGTACTTTAGTGATAACACCAGAAGGTTGGCTGCAAAGTGTCAATCTTTTTAATATATGAATGATCTTTAAAGTCTGAACACTGAAACATATGAACTCTATGGTTATAAAAGTTTCTATTTTACTTCAATTTAGTGGTAGAAAAAGTTACCTCATTCACTCCTACTCCTCTGGTCACAGAGCAAACCCCTCCAAAATAACTTAAGCTGCTCCTTTTGTAATGAAATGTCACATTCCTTATGAACAAACAAAAATAAAGTGAGCATAACATGTTAACATTGAGCACCAAGAACTTACCGAATAATAAACTTCCACATTACACACACAGTAGTGCTCATCTAACATCAACGGTTGGTATAAGTTTACAAAAAGAACACTGACATAAAAAGAGGTAAGACACAAACGTCAGCCAAAAAACACTATTTTTATCTTTAACAGTCAGTATCAGTCCCAACCCACAGACAAAACAGCCAGAAACAAACCGAGCAGATTGCTAAGAAAATACAACAACATTTCCTCTGAAAATATAATAATGAATACTTTGCCAGCAGGAAGGTGACTGTCCTCCTGTACTCAGCTCTGGTGAGGCCACACCTCAGGTACTGTGTTCAGTTCTGCATCCCTCACTAAAAGAAAGACCTTGTGGCCCTGGAGCATGAGCAGAGAAGGGCAGCAAAGCTGGGAGTAGTCTGGAGCACAGAGGTCTGACAAGGAGTAGCTGAGGGAAGCAGGATTGTTCAGTCTGAAAAAGAGGAGGCCTCAGGGGCCATCTTCTCTCTCTTTAACTATCAAAAGGGAGGTTGTGGCCAGATGGGGACCAGCCTCTTCTTCCATGTAACTAGCAATAGGACAAGAGGGAATGGCTTCAAGTTGCACCAGTTTCAGGTTGGATATTAGAATGGTCAGGTGCTGGAATGGGCTGCCCAGGGAGGCAGTGGAGTCACTGTCCCTGGAGGTGTTTAAGAAACATTTAGATGTTGTACTGAGGGACATGGTTTTGTGTGGAAATACTGGTGACAGAGGGATGATCATTAAACTAGATCAGCTTGGAGGCCTTCTCAAACCTTGAGATTCTGTATTCCAGTTTATAATCTGTCAAGAAGGAATTCTGTACTGAAATGATCATTCACAATGGTGATACATCTAAAACAAAACCATTCAAGTTCTGTTTCAACTCCAGATTAAAATACGGACGTGCTAAGTGAAGTGCTTCATTTAGTGGTTGGCATGGCTGCAGGTGGTTGGAACTAGATGATATTCTAGATATTGAGTCCATTCCAACCCAAGCCATTCTATGATTCTCAAATTTGGTTTGCATATGAGTGCAATAATATTAGACTGTCAGTGTTCACTGCTCCATTTAATAAAAATGGCTACTCATAAAAATGTCATCTCTACTTTTTATTTTGAGGAATAACAGTGTTTCAGAACACTGTGGGAAAGATTTTACCATAACTATTACTTTTTTGTTTTTTGAACAACATAAACAGCAAAAGTAGTAAAATTGACAATTGACCCCAGCATGCACGCGTAAAACGGGATCTTATCAGATGCACAGATACCTTCAGGAAAGTCAGCCCCAGCCTTGTGTTGTTATCCTTTTCAGATGTGTTATTACTTTGAACACTCTTATCTTTCACTCAGCTATGGATTTCACTTTCTTTGGTACCTCATGCTGCCACATTTAGCTTATTCTGTTTATTTTTACAAAGATACTGTTTTATAAAATATCACTTAATAGCAATTTGAGATTTCAGATACTGAAGCAGGAAAAAATTCAGACAAGGTCCCTGTAGCAGTCTTTAATCACTTGTCACTCCTAAAAGCTGAAACTCTGCATTTACAAAAGAATCTTGATTCACAATCAAGACAACAGTTAGAGAGTTATAACATCTATTCAGCAAGTTAGACAATACACACATAAAAGTAATTAAAGTGCACATCATCAGTGCTTGCATATCTAATGAGAAACAAAATTAGTATTGTTTCAGCATCTATATTAAGGCAGTGCAGCTATGACAGAGGATGAAGAATTTCCTCCAGCCTTTATCTTAATCCTCCCCAGCAAAAAATGAATAATAAGAGGAGTATTTGTTATTCCACCCTCTGCAGTGTGGCTGGGAAAGGGTTAAAATCCTTATGCTCAACAGTGAACCACACTCTTCCTTCTCTTTACTACGCTGTGAAGTAATAGAGTTGCCCAAGGTTGATGTTGTGGCTAACTGCCCAACCTGCCCTTCCCTCAAAAAGGCAGCGCCTATGTTAAGAGTCTATTGTATCCCTGCAGGAAGAGACCTCCTAGTGTTACAGTAACACATAACTGCAGTTACATGTTACTTACATTACATGCAACTGTAGCTACATGTGTAAATAAACATGTTTTGGCGGCAACACATAATGCTGTCAGTCTGCCCTCTCCTGCTCTTCACTGTGCCTTACAGATCATTAAGAAAAGCAAGTGTCCTTAAGGGCTCATCAGGAGACATTTCAATTGTGTGACACTGTCTCCAGGCTGCAAAGACATTAAGCTTTCATTTTGCACTTATATTATACATACATATAAATATGACCATGGTACATACTACGTGCATTACAAATAGATTAATGCACTAAAAATAGGTATAACTTGTTAAAGCAGGCAGATGTTGATGTAATGAGCAACAAGCAAAAAGGTAATTAAAAGACAGGTACAGAAAAGCAATAGACAGAAAAGTAGGTAGAACAATAATGGTCTTAATCACTGTATAACAGTACATACGAGAGAAGGTGCACAGCATCAGCGTGCTGCTTGATGTAGTGCTGCCGATACTTGGAGAAATCATGAAGCATCTGCAGTGGGTCAGGGTGAATATTAATACGATCTCTGTCTGTCCAAGTTTCCACAGCAACAAGGACCACCCTGGTGTTCAGCTGTTCCTTGTATATCTGAAGGCAGAGACAGGACAGGCACAGGAGTAGAACACTGGGTCAGACATGCACAGTTAGCCAGTAAGAGTAAAGCGGAAGGACAAGAGGGATAAATCAGGAGGGAAACACGGGGAAACAGTTAGCTGGTAATGCCTTGGATTTCCTGCAAGTTAATCATCTCAACCAATCATATCAACCTAACTTCTGATTGACAGGACAAAAAATAACAACAACAACAACAAAACAACAAAAAATTCCAATAAATTATCTTCATTTTTTTTAGTGATTCCCTGTTCTCTGTAATTCTCGATGACTTAATTCTCACAAATGACTTAATTCAGTCTCTTACAAAACCTGAACAAAAATCCGCAAAGTAGAAATGTAAAGGTACACAGGGTGATCTAAAAAAAAAAAAAAAAAAAAAAGCCAGAGACAGTTCTTCAGTCAAAAATAACTTCCTCTAGTACAAAATTTATACCACACAGAGCTTGATTTTCATTTATAAAAACATCACTTCATGTAGCTTAAGCAACATAAGAATATTATATTTTACATTAATTTTAATGTCCCTGTAGTAATAGATAAGTAAACGACAACCAGGCCCTAACCATTACAAAACATCCTTAAAAGATCCATTTTAACATTGTGCATGGTATTTGCTACTGAAAGAAAACAGCTGCTCTCTTTAGGTTCAGGACATAAGATGCCACATTTTGTTGACCAAGGGAATGACAGATCTCCAAGATATATTCTCTATCCATAACAGACAGCCTGCTGATCTAAAGCGTTTCATGGGACACAAAGAACACCTACTGAAACATGCTCAGTTATGATCTAAAAAGCTTTTCATAATTAATCCATTAGCTGCTTAATCTATACATTTGTAAAAGCTACTCAGTCATTCCATATGTCACCATATTAAAGACATGTTTTCATTAGCTTGTTTTCAAGCCATAGCTGCGGTATACAATGAGAACTGCCAATACCTTCCTTAAGTTGTGGTGTTTGTAATGAACAAACTAGCACTAGCTAGCACTCTAGACTTTCTGTACTTTAAAAAATGTCAGTGCATAATATTCAGAAACAACGGAGGTACATACACAGAAGAGACAGAGTGCTACCAGACAAGCTCAGTTTTATCCAAGCACTTTTAAAGAAGAAAGAATACTAATATGCTTTGCTGTGAGGGAGGCAGGCTGAGGACATGCACAAGAAGATGGTTACGTGTTTGAGAAAAAATGATAAAAATTAGAACTGAGATTATATACGGCTGGATCAATGTTTGCTGAGATGAAAACTGTATTTCTTGAAGTGAACAGGAACAAAAAGGTGGCAAAGAGAGCAGAGTAACTGAAATCTCTGAAAGCCAGTATCTTCTGAATACTATTCAATAAGAAATAAAACTCACTCCCTAGGAGCATGAAGGAATAACAAGGCAGAAATTCATGCTCCAGTTACAGAGAATGCCACTAGGATGACATTTTGCAAGATTCCTACAATGTGACTGAATTCTACTCTGGAGAGATGCAGAATGTTTCTGTAAACACACACAGCAAAGAAAAATGGAAAAACAGAAGGAACAATCAGAGAAAGACAAGATGGTTAAATAGTTGTTAAAACGCAGAAGAAATACCTAGAAATACTGATCACATGAGAAGAAGATGGGGATAGCACCTTTGCTTTGGACATGCGCAATATAAACACCAACAACATCATTTCTATTAGTTAACATTTTCAGATGGTTACACAAAAATATTATAAAACACTTCCATTACTTTGTCTATTATAATTATACTCACCTAAATTTTCAACAAACAATACTTCACATAAAACACAGAATATAAAATATTGTTTTGCTTCCTCAAAGCTATACAAACCAGTCATTGTGTTCATCTCTACCAAAAATCCATCCTGCCTTCACTGCAAACACAACTCTGAAAAGCAACAAAGTCAAATTTTCCTACAAATCTTACTTCTAGCTCATGTGCTCTATGCACTGTCAAAATTTCTTGTAAAAAATACAACTATGTTATCTGTATCAGTGGTACAATGGCAATTTTGTCTTCAATTGTAGATTTAAGTAGATATAAAGAGGAGAACGTTCTTTAAGTTTTTTTGCCCAGTGTGTAAGCGAAGAAATTTGCAGCTTCAACCACTTACAGTTAGATGCATTTCATTAATGTAAACTCAATTAAACTTACTCTTAAGCAGTGACCAATACTGCTTCAAGTTTGAAATCCACCCTGATAAAGGTAGAGTCAGGCAGATAGAAGTCTTGTGAAAAATTCCCAGAACAATTTGGTGGTTCCTTACACATCCACCACACACTATCTTGCGACCAGAAATGAGTTGTAAAATGAAATTTTTATAGCTGCTTATTTTTTAATCCTGCTACTGCTAACGTTAACTTTTTAAATACAGTGCTAAGCTAATAAAATCAGTGATACAGTTTTCAGAAGACACACAGATACTTACAGCATCTACAAGGTTCACCACAGATTTGGCAAAATTGTTTGTGTATGCATTTGAAGAACGATGCTTTTTGAACTATAAGAAGAAAAAGAACACAGTGAGAGTGTAAATATTTATTACTGTTCAGTAACTTTAAAGCAAGGAAGGAAAATTAATATTTTAAGAAAGACTGTGGGGAAAAACTCAAAACTTAACAGCCTATATCTCATCTTCAAGAATCCCTGAAGAATCATTTAACCACAATAAATATCATATCTAGAAGAAGAGTTCAAATGTTCAAGACAAAATTACATTGCATCTCTAGAGCCCATAAACGTAAGCTTGTAATGAGAGAATGTTGTACCCATTAGAAGTGTGCTTAACCTGCTGAGTTAAGTATCAGACAGTACTAGCCACATTCCATAGCATTAATTACAAAACCCGAAGTGGAGGCATTTCTCAGTTGCCTTGTGTGCAGCTCTTTGCAAGGGCATTCTGTCTTTACTATAGCACCAAATTTTTATGACAGTAGCAATTAGTTATGACAACAAGAAGAAAAGGGAACACATGGTAAAAGTAAAGATGTGTTTTCAGTATCAAAAGAGTTAAGGTGACTATCAAACTTTATTCCCATTTTCATAGACTTCAATGAGCTGTATTACAAGCTCTGCCTCCTATTTCCTGTGCACGTCACTGTAATTGCTTATGTCTTTCCACATCCTGCCCCACAAATCCCTTCTGCCCAATACCAGAATGGCCAGGGTTGGAAGGGACCTCGAGGATCATGAATTTCCAAGTCGCTGCCTTAGTGTCTAAGCATGAATTCATGACCTCAAAAAACCTTAATAAACCTTAAAATTATAAAACAAAATTGCATTACACAAAATGATTTGCAGTCTTCAAAGTTTCCTTCTCCATGTCAGATAACATTTTTTCTACCACTTTAAGTTCGTTACTTTTGCACAAGCAAGCTAGTTTTATACAGGCAAAATGCCACAGAGACAACGTAAGTTCACCAAACTGTTTAACAATGGCTGAGGCTCATTCATTTGACTGCAGAAAAGTGTTTGGTGTTTGTTTTTTGTTTGGTTTTGTTTTTACAACAGATGCAGGTGTTCACTGCCAGCTGCAGTATCAGTGCTTAGGATGCACACTGAGAATAGCAGCCATGTTATGGGATTCACTTTGCTCCCTAGGGAACCAGGATACTAGAACAAAAACAATGGGGGAAGAGCTGCTTGGTTATCTTTGTTTTGATGCAATGTCAAATTGTCTCAGAAATGGAAAATTAAAATAATATGCTTTAAAAACTTTCTTGTTTTCAGAATACTACTTAAATATTAGAATCAATACCAGTATTTGATGTCATTAAACATCGCTCCTAAAACAGAAATTAAGCAGTCAGCTTGTAAAGTGTTCAACAATTTAAATACGTTTATATGTGGTTTTAGTGCTAGAGGAAGTGACAATTTTGTGAGAAGACATATCGATCACTTAATAACACAACGTTCAAAGAGGTTTAAGACACTACTTCCAACATGCAATCTTCTGCAGGAGAAATCTGCCCTCTACTGGTAAACTGAAATCCTTAAAGGTCCGCACAAACTCAGACTCATGAATGCTGCCTTAAGTGCATCTGTTTTATTCCTTGAAAATAAGCTTCTGAGTCACTGACAATTCTGAAGCAAGTCATCTCGAGTGTCTGTGGTCTCAAGTTCTAACAAATAAAGCTTGCTAGGAGGCAACAGTTAGCATCTGTTACAAGCCTAAGGAACAGGATGGTTGTACTGTAAGCATGTCTGTTAACAAGAAAGGGCAGAGGAACCAGACACAGAAATGTTCTCCTTATAAGAAGTACCAACCGCAGATCTCAGACAAGATAAGAAAATATCAGTAACTTTACTTACTATGCCTACCATATTACTAACATGTGAACACTCCTCCCCTTGCACATAGGTTTACAAATGAAAATGGTTGAATAAATGTTTGTCCTACTATTCTTGCCCATGCAAGTTTCCTCCAAGTTGCTGATTTGATGCAGACTAAATGTATGTTATTTTCAAGCCAGAGTACTTGTACAGTTTGTAAAATATTTCTGGAAAGGTTGTATTATCTGCAAAATACTGCATCCTGCTCTGAGACTGACTCTTTAACATTATCCTTCAGTGCTGACAAAAGAGTCCAAAACACCAAAAATAACTGGGAAAACATACTGCAGCATGATAGATTCAATGAGCTTGTATAGAAACTTCAAAATTGTTACAACTTGCAAATAAAATAAGCTGAATGTTCATAAACATAATTTGCTTTTTAAAAAAGGTTTTGCACACAGAGAAGCACAATCATACTAAGAGGCCAGCTGGGAAAGCTAAATTTCCTTAAAACGAGGCTCAAAATGAGGCAAAAATCAAGTTGTTCCTGAGGAACTTGCTATGGGTTGCAGTATGTTCTTCCTTACTAGAAAAAAATTTATACCTATACTTAATATTTTAGCCATGTGCTCTGGCTAAAGTGTAGCTACTGGATTCCAAGAAGGGATCACTTCAGACAAGTTCTGAAAACACGTGTATCGTATTTTCAGAATACCAAAGCAGTTTGGCATCTACAAAAACACAAAATGAGAAGTACTCATCAGAATAAACCACAGCTCAGGGAATACACATAACTCTTACTGAGAGAGCCAGAGTTACCTGAGTCTTACAGAGGCAAAAATATCTTTTTACCAACTACGGGGCAGGTGCATTCCAGCAGAAAAAAAAAAAAAAAAAATCACAGAAAATTTGAGAGAAAGAAGGTAGAAGGAGAATATTATATATAACTCACATGTAAGACTATGACAGTGACAACAATCAACTTTCTGTCCAATAGTCCAGTGGTTAAAACATTTCAATACTGAGACATGGGATTCCCAAAAAGTGGAAACTGAACAATAATCTCTCTTAAAAACACACACTGCTCCATTGACAATTCTCTTTTCCATTTTTAATAGAGGTATCATAATGGCACTTTGATACCTGGCATAATACGTGAAAGCAATATTACAGATATCAGCTGGTCTCATTTTTACCAGTTTATCCTCAATAATGACTTTTTTCCCCCCTTTTTGTCATTTTAAGCAAATAAGAAATACTTTGTGAATCAAACAAATTGTACTGGTATTACAGCCTACGTCTTAGAGTATTATCACTACCAGCTGCTGATAAATGAAATATTTGATCCCAAAAGGACTTGATAATGTGTCGTTCATCGGTATACAAATTATAACCACAAGGAATCGCTGAATTGATACACCTACCATTTTGTGGTCATTGACAATCATGAGCTCCAGATATTTCATTTCTTCAAAGACACCACGAGATGCCTGATGGATTAAAGAAATTCTGAGAAATCATGAAGATGGAAGAATTTTCCAAAAAAAAAAAAAAACCCAAAAAACAAAAAAACTGCAGTTGCTGATTTAATAGGATTACCTGTACATATTATGTAAAGTTTTAAGTCTATCCAAAGTGAGTCAGACCTTCTACTATGGTAAATACTCCACCAACTTGGTGAGCTTTGATAATTGACACTGGCTGGGAATCTGAGCTGCATCATTTGGAATAAGTTTAGAATTTACTTTTTGGTTCAGTACAGAAGTCACCACTGCTTCCCTCCTTACTTAGACAGAGAAAAAAAAAATAAATCTCAAGTGCTGGAACTGCTGGAACCGTTGGCTACAATTCATCACAGAATTGAAGAGAAAATTTCTAAAAATAGATGAGCCCTCCAAAAATAAGCCACGAATTGTACAAGTCAGTGAAGAAATACAAATTATTTTTCTTAAACCCAATTATTCCTCTTGCTCTCATGCATATGCATGTGTAGATCACGAGGACTGTCAACTTTTGTTCTCTCAGTAACCCAGTCAAATTAGATGTCCTTATTTGGAGTTCTTCTTTGATCATGCTACTTAACACACCAAGTGAAAATAAAATTGGCTACCTTCAAATAGCAGTATTTTATCCAAAAATAATCTTTATCAAGCAGATTTGAAATCTAAAACTCACCCCACTTTCTAAAGTCATTTTCATTACTAATCTTCCGTTCAACTGATGTATAGTTTTGCTTTTATGTAATTTAATTTAAAAATACTTGTATTACACAGCAATTTCAAGCTACAGAAATATTTATTTTCTAAAGCTTCTGTTAACTCAAAATCCAAACTGGATGGTTTGGGCTTTGTTTTTATAAATGTTCTTAACTAAGGGTCACATCTGTACTCACTGCTCTCCTTCTTCTCTTTCTCTTCAGCCACAATAGTTCAGAGATAAAGGGCCATTTGGAACTAGATTCAGTCCCTGTACAAATCAGAATTTAAGAATTTCGTGGCATTATTTCCAACTGCTAGTATAAAGTCCAAAAAGAGATTAAGATCACCAAAGTTAGAATAACATTTGATACTGAAAAGTTCATTCTTGTAAAATACACAGTAAGTATTTCATATCAAAACTCAAGTCACTTGGCAATCTAAATTTAGAATTAAAGCACGCAAGGGAAGATAGAAAGATTGTAGGCTGGGCTTAGGATATATGTTTTCTTTCATTTCTATTCCTCAATAGCATTCCTATCACCGATTAAATTACATGATCTGCAGAAGAAAGTTGGTTGGTCTTCATAGATGAAAGTCTGTCAGTTACTTTTCTGAGATCCATTGCAATAATTATTGAAAAAAGAAGTTTAGTATTTATTTTCCAAGTGCTTCTAAATGATCAACAATTTTAAATATCTCTATTAGCCGAATATTCAAATTATTCAATATACATACAACTATTTCCAATATTGAAAAACTCATAAGCAAAACCATACCATGGTCCTGCAGCTGCTTGGAGGCTTGTGTTCCAGAAGTTCTTTGGATGATGTGTGGTCTACTTCTACTTTCCTGTTAAGAAAAACATGCAACATTTTCTTCTAATTAATACTGTAGAGTGAAAAGGCATTTATTTCAATAATCATCATTCTTACTGCTTTTCCACAAAACACAACCACGGTACCAATTTCACACAGCAGCAATTTGAAGTAATGTTTGCAATCCTAAGCAATCACAGAGCATTCACCAGCACACAAAACTCGGATATCAGAGATGATTTTGAGATTGTTTGAAAAGTGTCCTTTAAAACCCTTAGTGCTAGAGAATGCAAAATCATTGATTCCAATAAACCAAATTAAAGAGCACATGTTTAGATGAAATCTTCCACTCCCAGAAGAAATGCAAGGATCTGTTTCCTATTGATGACAAAAATCTACCATCTTCATTGCAGCAAAATGCAAGAAACTAATCAATGCGGTATCTTTAAGAGGCTTGTTCCACTGTAGTGTTGAGTACACCAATAATAAGCAGCCTTTTAATGCATGTGTTCTTTAGAAGCCTGACATGCCCCAAATTATTGCATTTTGATATCCCTAGAAGACACTTGTCTTCTCTTCTCTAACACTTCTTCTACAGAGGCTGCCAAAACATGCAATTCTTTTCGAAGGGTAGGATGCTACTGTTCTGTAACTCCTGGGAGAGAAATATATAATGAACTGAAGGAAATAAGAGCACATTTTTGCTGGTTTTGATTTTTTTTTTTCCTTCTGGAAAAAAATGTTTTAAATAGCATCCACAACAGTTAAGGTTAATCAAGCTGAATAATCTGCATCCTGAAGCCTATGTCCAAGATATTATCTCGCACAGGAAAAAAAATAAAACTAGTCACTGAAAATTCTCTGTAGCTGTATTGTTTTGATCTTCAGCATTTTGAAAAAAAAAAATAAATTCATCTGTTCTCTTTTCATTTAGAATTCTACCACTTGAATCTTAAACAGCATTGGCAGACAGTATCTCAGTTGAAGAATTTCTCCTCTGACTTCTGTACAGATACAATTGTAAGTATAATTTCAACAAATTTACACCGTCTGTACTGTCAGCTTTCAGCCTCACAATCTTTATGAATATGTGCTACATCAAAATGTAGCTTAACGTGGCTAAACACATAGCATGTAATACAGCTTTTGAGGAGACTGAGAAATGTCATTCTTCCCAGTTGCAGCATTTTTCAGTGTCCATATAGTTTCCTGCACAGCCCAAGAGTTGATCAGCTAAACTGTGATTCCTTTGAATGCTGATTCACCTTCTTTGAAAGCTTCAGGAGTCAAAGATTTTGCAGATCTTTCTCTGGGCTACAAATCAATATTTACAGTCACTAAAAGACATGAATTCTGCAGCATTATGTTATTATCATATACTGGTAAGTACCTGAGTGAGGCATGTTTGGGAGCTGTGATACAGCATGTGGAACAGACCCTACAGACTAGGTGAGGTAGAAAAGTCTTACGGTCTACAACTCAATGTTACAGAATCATTCTGCTGAAAACCACTCAAACCTTCGAACCATTCAGGATGTAGAGACCTTCCTGGTTTTGTTACTGTCTGAAATGTAGTCAATTTTATAAATAGGCAGTTTTAGGAACAGCTGTGCTGTGATATACTTCATGTGAAGTACAAAAATAATTATAGTTCGTAAGATTTTTGCATAAATACAGTCCTAAATCCCATGTAAATATTTGAATATATGACTAAGCTGGATCAGAATAATTAAAGTGACACACATATTACACACGTAACATCTACACCCAGATATAATTATCTATTTCATTAAGATCTTACTGGAAGTACAGTAGATCAAAGAGCAACTTGGATCCAACTGCTTTGTGAGAAGGATGACTTCCTCACCCTTCTATAAATTTATAAATTCTTCACTTCAAGTACTAGAGCAAATGGATAGACACCTTTTGACAGTGCACAGCCACCTGCTATGGAAAACGTCTTACTATTCCATTTCCAGCAGCTAAGTGATTAACAGCAGATAGGAAGAGGAAAAATGAAAGGAAAGCAATGTAAAATGTTAGTCAGTTCATACCTGCACATTTCTCGTCCTAAGTCCAATCAGGTGTTTTAAAATACTTTTGTTTTCCATATGAACACAACACAGATCACTGATTCACTGATTTATCCTCTAATTTTTATTTGCTACTCCCTGAGCACTCTCTTTCTCAAACCAAGTGAAAATCAGATCAAAATAAACTTACTGCACTGTGAGTCAAATCCATCGGTTCTATCAAGTACACGTAAGCACTGTCTTCAAACATGCCACTAGAACGTGGAGAAAGAGAACTGACATTTAGTATTGCATGAGAATTAACTTGACTCCATCAAATGTTTTTTAACAAAATAAAACCAAAATTATGGCTGAAACTCTGATCAACATTAGAATAACCCCATATGTATACACAGTATCATCATATGTACCTAGAATTAAGAATTTTTTTATTATTTTTTCAGAAATCAAGTACATGTAATGGTAACATAAAGATGAAAAACCAGAGAATACACGTTGGACCTAGAAAACAGGGAGTCATAAGGCAGATATTAGCAGCAAAATGAGGTAAGTTACACTTAACAGTAACTAATTTTTTTTTTTTAATTATCTAACAAAAAGAAAAATGCTTCTGTGGGCTTTCATGCATGCATAGTGAGCAAACAGACTGCCAGAGGACAATTCTTGTTCATTCTCTACTACAGTAAGTCATTTTAGTGAAATATTTTTTGCCACTTACCACATTCAAAGGTTTCATGAGATATTATCAAAAGACTTTAATTCTAATGATACTAAAAAATGGTGTGAGCAGATTGGCATAACAGGCACTGGTATTTTGAAATTTCAAGCATCTTTTGGTCTGGAAAATTTTAGTCCATTACACATTATGATATAATATTCAAGAGCAATAACTAGTTAATAGCCTTGTTTGAAAAACGAGAAAGTGCACTTACTGAAGCCCATTACAAGTTGAAAGAGCAACTTTGGAATCCTTGATACCTCTGATATTTCCATGGTAGTAGCAGTGCTCCCCACCCTAATTATGTTCAAATTAAAAATAAAAAAAAAAAAAAAAAGAAAAGAAAGAAGAAAAAACACAGAAAATTGCTCTGATTTCATGTCTATTGTTTAAATCTAGGGGGAAACATATGTAACATCTTCCATTAGATAAAATTTCAGAGAAAGCAGCCTCTACTTAAACTACATCCCAACGACTATTACAATTTGATAGTAAAAGTAAGCCTTGCCTGGTAAAGAATATTTTATGCCTTCAAGTTGTAATGTGAGTTACTCTCTTGCTGATGTCACAGCACACCTCATCTTTCTTTTTTTTTTTTTCCAAACATATTTCTTTGCTGTAAATTGATGCTACAGAACTGTTACGTAATGCAGGTTACATGAGCTGACTTGTTTCTTGATACTTGCCAGATCCACTAAATTTATAAGTACTACACTGTTCATCAATTACCTGCATGTGTTTGGCTTCAGTTTGCATTCTACCAACCCAAGTTTGATTTTTCTCTCTAAAAAAGTATTAATTTAAGCATTATATCATTAGACTATAGGTACCAGTATTATTTATGAGCTTCAGTGTTTTAGATTGGCAACACTAAAATGCACAGTTAAATTCTCACTCTGTAGCTCAAAAGAGTAATAAAAGTCAATTCTTGATTTTAACTGCATAAAATTAAAAGCAGATGCAAAATGTGACTATGTTAATAAGTTAATGTGACTATGTTCATAGTATGTTAAGATAGTATTTTTATGGTTTCAGAAACTAATCAGCAGTCATATTTTAGACAAGTTCCTGCTCTTAAAAAATAACACAAATTTCCTACAAGCATGTTTAAATGTTAGAGAATTAAACAACCAAAAACCAACCCAACAACCCGTCAACATTAGGTGAACTACACCCAAGATGTCAGTTTTCAAAAGCCTTAATTATACAAAGTGAGAGAGACCCTGCTGAATGCTGCAATACAGGATTTGACGAGTCAGAAGCTGTAAGAATTAGGCAGAACAGAATTAGTGCCAAATATGCTGTCAAATGGGCTTTCAGAGCAACTCTGAATACATTCTGTCAGGTCTCCACAGGAAGGTTAGTCAAGCTGTAATATGTGTATATATGAGAGGAAGAGGACAAAACGAGAGATCAAAATGCTCCAGAGAAAAATTGGTACATAAAATATTGAAGTTCTAATCCAGAAAAGCCTTGCTCGTACGTGACCTAAACTCTAGGGAATGCTGCATGCTTTCCTCAGAATTGAAAGAGCAAGTTCCCCAAGCTCATCCAGCTCTTCACTACAGAACAAACTAAGCTGAGCTCTCCTCTCCTGAAGCAATTGGCTCCTGACTAAACTCTCATTGAAGTGGGCGTAGAAGCAGCCCAGCCATCGAAGGGGACTACAAAGATGCTCAGAATGCATCTAAGAGACTGACAAGGTTTTGAGACCCTCACAAAACACAGTTGCAGTGGCTTTCATTGTTGGTTGTTTTGTGTTGTTTTTCATTCCTCTGGAGTATAAACTAGTACATCAAAAAGCCTTTCCTCTGGCTAATGCTTCAAGTTTCCCAGGTCACTTTGAGGAGAACCACCTCGAATCTCTTCACTTTCCAGAAACATCCTCTATCCCACATGTAATGGCTACTGTGTCTACAGCTACTATGTGTCACAGCACCCTCCCTGAATTCCATAAAGCACACTGAAGCAGCTTCATCCGTGGAAGACAGATTCCTGATCTCAGAAAGAGGAAGCACAATTCTATACCCAGAAGCTAAAAGGCTTCTACGACATATGAGTATGATATTCATCATCATACTCTTAATTCTGGGGTCATCTGAATTCCAGCACGCATACTGGAACCATTTCTTCGCACTTACTATGACTTGAGGAATTAACAAAAATGTAAATGCTCTTCAACTATGCACAGCATTATTTCTACTTTGGGCCTTATTTAATGAGTTATTCAAATTCTGAATGAAATTCCCAACAGAGTCCACTCTGCACAAGTAAATCAAAGTATTATACAAAATGCAACCACCACGTATTTACTTCTCTACTAGTGAGAATACTCAGAACGTGCTTTTTAACAACTGGTGACCATCTTACTTGCACAAGCAGCTTTTCAATCTTTTCCTTTTTTTAAAGACTGTCACGCAAGTGAGAAAATTACTGTTTGTTCCCTGAAGTTTTCACTCTTTAAATAAAAATCTACAGTATTTTCATCAAGATCTCACATATTTGCATCCACATCCAGAAACAAAACAATCATTTTTTTCAAGTCTAAAAAGGATTATAAGATCCTGTAAAAAGCTTAGGATGTAGTTCTCATTTGATCTCCTTAATTAATTGTTTGTGTATTTTCTGAACTTATAATGCAGACTTCAATGCATTAATTAGAGTTATAAATTAAAGCTAAATTATTGTTTCTAAACAAATCAATTGAGAGAAGATCCCCTAGGAAGCGTGGATCAAATTACTGCCGCATGCAAAGGCAGTACATTTGCTCAGTCTAAAGTTGCAATATAATTTTCCAGTCAGATCCATGATTCAGCAACCGCAGTGCTCAGTGCTAGCGCTGCAGCTAACAATTGCACGAGCTTGTCCACATTCCAAAAGGATCCATTTTCTTGCATCATTTAGCTTTTTTGCCCATTCTGCACAGTACGGAGTCTTCATGAAACAAAATCACTTTTTCTTAGTATGTTATGTGAAATTATTTTCAGTAGAATACAAAACAATTCACTGCAATAATTAGGTTGCAATAGTGTTATTTTGACCTAATCTATCTCTTTTATTTGTAATTCTCTATAGCAAAGGCAAAATAATCAGGTATCTAATATATGGCCAAAAAGTGTCACTTCACTGAATGCATAAGCGTAACGCGATTGCTTGCTTTTCTCCACTCTAAATAAAGATATGTTTCACATATAACAAGCTCACAACAAATGTTCCAGCATTTGTATCAGCTATGAAATAAGTCATTCCCTGGAAATGTATTTTTTAATGCTCCTTTGAACTTATCAGTCTTCATGTTGTTAATACAATCAAAAGTTGATTCTGATTTCCATAGTACTAAACTATCTAGCATAACTTTATGTCTTTGTATCAATAGCTTATTGGCACTGAATCCAACTTAGGAGCCAGTTTGACAAACTAAATTAAGTAGATGTCATTAGATAACATGCTAGCTTTCACAGAATTTCTACTAACTCCAGTTAGTTAAGTTTTCATCTTCTTTTTTTTTTTTTTCTGTTTCCCAGCTGTATAATTCTTACAAAGAAAAGTCACTGCAAGTTTTCTGCTTGTACATCTTGTATTTCCACTACCTGTTCCTCTTGCAATTTGTGCTAAGTACACGTAATAAACACTACGCTAACCGTGACTCACATCCCGCCATCCCCTACGTTTCACAAAGCACAACTGTCCTAGCACTGCCTGGATCATCCATCACTGCCTATTTCCTACCCCAGCCCAGATGAACATCCTTATGTGTCTGTAAAAAAGGCTTCTGATGTTTTGATCCTTTAAAAAAAACCAAAACATGTTACTGGCATTGTTGCCCCAGAAATACCATTCTGACACATGTTAAAAGCGCAGTACCTTAGACAACTTCTGTTTCCCCTCTTCATAGTGAATCTCCACATAATTGGAAGATAACAAATCACTGTAAAAAAAAGAGCAAAAACCAAAACATCAAGATGAGAAAAATCTGATTATACTGCTATGTGGATGCTTTAGTTAGAATTGCACCGATTTTTCTTTCCATTAAATAACCTTAGCAGCTTGCAACCAGTAGATGGTTTGATTACACTCTAGAAGACAGAGTGTGTTCAGTTCCCCTATCCTATTTTAGTCTTACAATTGATTATCCTGAACATACAAAAATAAAAAATCCAGTGACTTTAGAATTTTGCTAGCTGCCCATGACTGTTACTTTCTATGTGTATGCTTAGTTCATTATTGTTTTCAGAAACATTTTACATTTGATCTAAAAATCATATACATTATATGCAGGAACGGACAAATGCATACATGATAGTCCCAAAGACAAAAGTGTATCTGTATCATCTGTACCTTGCTTTCTCATCTGCAAAAATCTTAACTGTTTTCCAAAAACTTTCTTTAAAAATAATCAAACAAACACAAATGCAAAAAACACACACTATTCCTTTTGTTTGTTTCACGTTTTCTTTTCAGACCCTTTTTTACTCGTTTTTTTTTTCCAAACCACTCTGGCAAGATACATTTCTGAAGCATAAAAGAAATCCCTGTACTGTAAATAACTTACAGTCGGTTTTTTTTTTTTAGACACCTCCAATGTCTCATTCACATCTCACCCAGTGAGCGGGTTGCAGCACAGCACCCTCAGGACAGCAAAGCATTTGAACATGTTAGTTGGCACCATCACATATGTGATACAAGCACATTACTCAATGTAATGACTTCTCAGCAGTTTTAAGGCCTCTAAGAGCCTTCCAAACAGAAATGTCATGAAAGCAACTGATAGTGACACAGATAAAAAAGTACTGCTGCTATGAACAAAAACCATCACTATGATGAAAGCCTGGTGTGACAAAGCAGTTCTGATAGGAATTCATGACTAACAGGTACTTGTAATAACACATCTCAAAATGAGAGACCCCATTAGCAACCCTGATTACACTGTTACTAATGGCTCATAAAATCAATTTGTCATCCCGCATTTATCAGGCATTAAATTTATCAGAGCTCCTGCTGAAGTCAGTTACCAGAGCTTCTCTTAAAAGTCCTTTTTTCATAGCACTGAGAGATCACAGTATGGGCAAAGTAGCAATAGCCATGAACCATGACTGAAGTTTAGATCTAGTATTAGATATGGAGCTTGGCAGCCCTGCCTGTGGCAAGGGGGTTGGAGCCTGATGATCCTTGCAGTCCCTTCCAACCCAAGCCATTCCATGAGTCTATGAAGTCTCACCATTTGTTTTAACCTTCATTCTGATAGCAGTATTTAAATATATACACATTTAAAGTGCTGCTTTAAAAATAAATTCAGCTGCATAAAATCATTCTGACTTTCTCAATATGCATCATACTAAACTATAAATTTTCTGCAAGAAAACACAAACAGTATGAATAGCACAAGTGCTTGACTTCAATACAAATATTCACTACATTTAACACGACAAGGTTTAAAGCTTCTAACAAGGAATATATACACAAAGCACTTGAACTGAAGAGTGTTGATAACATCCTTTTCTTCTTTGTCTTTTTCATGAGTGTTATGAAGACTGCTGTCCTCAACTACTTAAAGGGATGGTATAAACAAGACTAGAGGTAACAAACACAAGGGAAAACGGAAAATTCCACGAGGATGGTTAAAGCCTACAACTCACTCAACTAGAAACAGCCTTAACCAAGTGGTTCCAACTGGACTTGATGATCCTACTTCAACCTCAATCAAACTGTGCTCACTAAACGCTTTGATTACTCTTTGATCACAGCCAACTGCAGCCTCACACAGTAGACGAGTTTAACCTCAGGAGATGAGGTTGAACCGACACAAGGAATAAAAGTTCTGTTCTTGCACAAGTCACATTTGCACCGTAATAAATACGTTTTCCTCAGCTGAAAGTTGAAGTCTTGAAGCTGGCTGTTTATATTTCTTGCCTTATAAGCTAGTAGTACAGGCAAAGGCCAGAGTTGCTCTTTTGATTTTATTTGGGTGTTTGTTTTTTTTAATACAAATCTTAAGACTACTAGCACTGTTTTCTATTTGCAGTGAGATTTTTGAAGACATTCCTGCTTCATTTGGAATTCCAAATTCCAAGTTCCATTTCGGTTCCTCAAACAATGACAGGATCTAGATTTACCTGCTTCCAAATCAAGGAAGTTTTTTTTATTTTTTTATTTTAAATCCTCTCATAGCCATGATACATGACTGATTTCAAAACTGCTCTCACCACTCTCCAGTGCTTTTAGCATTTTGTTAGACTTTCACTGAGTGGTCGCTCACTGTATCCGGACTCACAAACACGCTTAACTTAATTACAAGATTTATCCCTTAGAATTGTCCCATTGCATATGATGTAAGAGTTGCTTAAAAGTTCTTTTGTCTAACCTCCACAGAATCTTTCCAGAATTCAGTGTTATTTTCCTGGATTTTGGTTGAGCTACTCTCATAATTCAGTTACGTTCTTCTCCAGTCTTCAACTTTGCATTGCTTCCAGCTATAGAGGGCTTCCTCATTCAGGAAGTAAATTGAGTTCTCTCGAGTATCCAACATTATATCCTTATGACAGAATATTCCTATATGTATTCATATACATAAAGAAAGCATGCAGTAGACAGTGGCTTTTCCAGTAGACTATTCACTTTCATCATCACTGACTTTCCAATTCTAATGTCTTGCAGACCTGCTGGACACAAGGCATGTCGATAAAATTCCCTGTATTGAGCAAATCCCCCCTGAAGAAAGCTGGGGCCTGCTACAGATGATATACTTCCCAAATACCAGGCTGTGAACAAAATGACAAATACACCTGACAAATACAACACGATCTACCACCTTAAAGTTGGTCAATCCACAAGCTGCACTATAGCAGGCTATTTAGCACTAGCTGCTGATCATTACATTTTGCCAAAATTAACCACCAAAGTATTGGAAGGGCATTTTTTTTACTCAACATTCCCCACAGGAAATATTCTATCTATATATTCAATTGAAAAATACCAACCATCTCCTCCTTAAAATAAGCTTCTACCCTGCTTGATACCTGATTTTTGCTAGCCACCCTCTTACCTAGCATGCATGTTGGATCACTTACAGATAATTGTTTTTTGTCTGTACCCTCCTTCATTTTCTGAAATCCTGTCATAATTGGGAGGAAAAAGCATCATATTGAGGTCACCTTGTATCACTTATGTGTACTTCTACTACCAGTCTGTATTTGTGAACATTGAAAAGAACACATGCCTTCAATCATTCAGAAATTCTTTAATGTACGCTGCCGATTTCAGACAGCCAGGATCTTATTCAGAGGAACAGGGGAGAACAGCAGGTGGACAGTATATCTGCAAGCATTTTTACCACGGCTTTGCTATTATGCCAGTTGCTCCTATATTAACAACGATCTGCCTTATTCTTCATACTGGTAGTAAAGTCATAAAGTAGAGAACTCCACATAAATTAACTTTTATCCTTCATTACTATTGCCAGAATGCTTAAAACTTCTTTTGAAAGGCAGCTCTGAGTTTCAGAAATATTTGTTGTGCCTCATCTGCACCAGACTGCCAGCTGACCTATTCGCATTTTGGTTCAGCAGAAATGCAACTGATTTACAAATCTGTTTACCCAACAATTGTGTAAGTTATGGTCACATCAGAAGAAGGCCTATTTAGACCAGTACCATGTCAGCACGACTTAATAATGAATGCTTGCAACAAACTGCAACCCAAAATTAGATACGATGCACAAAGTCATGGAAAAAAAATGAGTAGAGTCTGCTACACCCTCTTCTGCAGTTCCCTCCATGCTACCTTGCTTGTCTTAGATAATTTTTAACAGAGCTGCCTCACTGTCTCCTCAGTCATGTTGAGAGATGGCTTTAGACACACAAGCAAAATAAAGAGCCATGGCAATGCCATCCACGGTTGCTAGTTTCTTTGAAGAGATGAGCCAGCTGTTAAAGCAGCATATGCTTTCTGAGGAGCTGACATCCATATCCTTGGCACGCATTTCATTTCTTTTACTACCGATAGAAGAACGGACATGTGAGAAATAGCTTACCTCAGCTGTCATCTAACTATACTTACGGAAAAAAATGAAGACACTAGGTAAAGGACATAAGATCTCATACTTAAGTAACTAAGTTGGCTTCCAGGAACTCAGTATGCAGGCCGTGGAAAAATCATACTACAGATTAATTACATTTCTACCTTCTTCAATTTCCTTTACACTAACCTACCACCAGTCATTTTTTTGAGGTACTGTGAAGTGATTTGAGTTCAGAACCACACTTAGCAATCACATTGAGAACCTTGTTAATTACTTAACAAAAAACACATCATGTGTTATACGTTACTTCTGTATTTTCCCGTAAGTGTGCAGAAAAGCTAATGACAGCAGAAGCTGCAAATGCACTTTCATGCAGTAATGAAAGATTATTTTACCTGTCATTTCATATTGATTTTATACTTCCATGTAATTCTTAAACTTTATCAGTACAAACTTTCAGTGGCACAAAAGCTCTCTCCCATTTTTCAGGCCAACAGTTCCCTATATTTAGCTGATGACACATAAGCAGAAGTGCTGTAAACAACTAAACCAACACTGACCTTTATTACAAGTTCAACATTCTTGACCACAGTTGTCTAAAATTATTGTTCACTTTACTGGTAAATACATTCTAGGCTGTACCTTTCAGTGCAGCCAAACCACTAAGACTCCCACTTCATCAGGAACTTCATGATTATAGTGACAATGATACATTCTCTGGATAATTAAGAACTAGCCAGTTGTACAAACATTTGCAATATTCCCACATGGCAACTTGAACAATTAAAATAACATCTCTGTGACAGTTCATCAATATATTAAAACAATACAAACATCAAAAACAAGAAAATTGACACCCTTCCAATACTGGTGCTACTGAATGTTCACCATCTATAAATGGAGCCACTGACATTTGTACACATCTAGCCTTTCAAGCACATGGTGGCCACAAATGAATATAGGTATTGTCGTCCTGAATATGAGCAGACATGTAAATGAAAGAACAAAGATGACAGCAAACATTTTTAACCACAGTCCAATATGCTGAACTATGCTATACCAGGATGCAAGCACAAATGGTGTATATATCATTTTCTGTAACATTCTGCAAATACAGCAAGCATGGAAATATTGTACCAGAATGGGAAGTAAGTCAGTAATACCTATCAACATTTCACTGCTACATGTAAGGATTGGTCGCTGTGGGTTACTGTGATCTATGGTGTTACCACACGGTAACTGAAGGTAGTGAAGTCATTCATTCTGCAACTACTTCTGTTGTAATGAGACATTTTTAAAATTTTCACACGAAATATACACAGCAAATGCTATTTTTTATTCTTATATCTCACTGAGGTGTTTTTTAAATTACCACAAAATCTGGTAGCATTCAGTTTTAACAGCCAACAATTTAATTATAGTTAAACTGAACTACAGATTTTAAATCCATAATTGTAACAATCCAATTACTGAATGTGTATTAATATGAAGACTGCTTTACAAATTTAAACGTAAATGTAAGTTTTAAACACCTTTAAATTGCACTGCTAGGTTTAGGCTTCTGAGGACCACAGCATTGATTTATATTTATCATCTTTATGTACCATTTTCCTTCCTGAGTTACGAAGTTTTAAAGGCATGTTATGGATGCCAGTAAGGGTAACAGCAACCTTGCTTAAAATAGGCCACATGTTGTTTTCTATTAATATAACTTGGACAACAGCACTTTTCTGTACATCCTGGAATTTCACATGCTCTGACCTTGTGCTGTAAGTTGAAGACAATTAGAACAGGAAAGAAAGAAACCTCAAATTGTGCACTTACTTATTCAAAGTGAGGTCAAGGATGAATTTGGAACCAAAGGCCTCAATCTGGAAACTTGCCTGGGCCAGATGTACAGCCTGTAAACACGAATACACAGCAATACTATAGAGCTTTGTGAAACATTGCAAGCTGTCAGAAAGAATAATTGAGCTTTATATGCAGTAAGTATTTGTGACTAACAAAAAGTGAAAAAGTCACAGAAACCATGCTCATTATCTCCCAACCAACCAGATTCAAATAAGTATCTGTATTTTGTCATAGCCCAATGGCTATGTAACCAAAGTAACGCAGAATACTGTTCTTCTAATTACGTTTATTGCATTCATTCACCTTAAAAGGCCCAAAATAATTAAAGCATTTTGATAAAAGCCTTCTTATAAGCAAACAAGGGTAAAGCTTGTATTACACGTTATCAAGGACTTAATTCAAAATAATCCATTCACAATTAAAGGCTTTATATCTGGCATTATAACCAAACCAATAAGTAAAGACTGATTTTACACAAAACAAATAAACTGACATTAGCTAGTCTCACATAGGCAGTCAACTTCAAAAATATTCAATTTCTCTCATATAGACTGTATAGTTCAACTTTTTTTTTCCCACTTTTTGATGTCAGCCACAACAAACATTCAAAACACCTTCAGCTGTTTTCTTAAAAAAGAAAAGATGGTCCAAGAATTCCGTTTTGTGATGACTGTGTCCCAGCATAGTGAAAGAGATCAGATCTGAACTTTACTGATAATATCATAATCAAAACATGCTTACTTATACACTAAAAAGATACAAAACAAGTAACTACATAAAGCTGGAGTACCGTGCCCTCTACTCAAAAGACCAAAACACATTGCTTTTAATTACATTTTAAAATTGAATTTTTAATTAAACACTACAATAAATATTCAGATACATCACAAAACAAAAAGTTCTAGCTGTTTATTGCATAGCTTAGATAACCTGAAGGTTACCTTTTACAACCCGCAGGACCTGCAACTCTGGTTTACCTTTAGAATTTTTCCCATGAACAATTTCTTTCTGTTCCTCTTCTATTCTTGCACTACATGGAGTACCACTGATTTTCATCTTCTTTTTCCTCAGCAAACATATTCATTTTCCTAAAACTCTTCAACATCAATTTAAAAACCTGTTTCCAAAAGTTGCTACAGCATCTAAATTCAGCTTTCGTGTTTCTGTTGTTATTTATCTTTGCCCCCCAGAATTATTATTTACCTTTCAGCTAAGAAACTTTACAAAGCTCATTCAAAAACAAACCCCACAAAATGTATAGTTACAAAACAAAACGTTCAGTATTAAACAGCCCTCATCCAAAGCCTGTTTTTTTTTTTTCCTTTATTAAAAAATATAAAACTCTAACAAATAAATTTAAAAGTAATATTGCTAGGTGGTTGCTATCTACAATAATACGAGAACCAGTATCAAGCACTGATTTTTGGTTCATTTCTTGTTTCTTTTTTGTTATTTTGTAAACGAAGCAATTGTCTCAGCAGTTCAGCAATTTGCTGAAATAACACTGGACTGGCAAGGTGAGCTTACAGATGCTCTGAATTACCAGGTTGAAAGTTTGAGTACAAATAGAAGCAGGATACTTGATGGAGAGAGTCTGTTTCAAGGATTAAATTTATGCAAAAAGAAAAGTGATCCCAAGCATTACCTTTAAATTACAGAAATTGATCAGAATTTAAATTGAACAGAAAAGTAATATCAAAAGTGACTACTTATTTCTTCCAGGGTTAGCTTAGAAAAAAATATCTTCACTTTGGTCCTGGTGCAGCATTTCTTCCACCTCCCCTAACAGAGTAAGCAAGACTTAAAATATCTGTTCTTTTCAAACACTCTTTAGGACACCAGCAGTATCAAGGCTAAATCATCATCTAAGAGAGAGACAGCAACTACTTAGTTTTCTACAAAGTACTTCTCTGGTTTTAACACTACTATGTTTTGACTGCCAATTATAAACCAAATAACTAAAACTCCTGAATATACTTACATTCAAAACGATCAAGCAATGTTTCAAGCTACTTAACCAATTTAGGAAGTGCTTAAGAAGGGAGGAAGATGTATCAACTCAATAATAAAACACTTCAAAAATGCTTGTTGGCAATTATATCTTCAGCTTTTGAAACCCATGAAAATCCTGAAGACAACACAGGTACCAAAAGTTTATGCGTTAAAGAAACCATATAAACTAAAGATTGTGAATTCCATCAAGTTCTATTAGATCCAAATGACAAATTCTGGTTTCTAGAGGACCCTGACTCAGCAATTGCTAGAGGATGGAGAGCATTCCAGGCAACAGCATCCCTGACTGCTACACCATATAGCCCTCCTGAGACATCCTACTCACTGCTCTTCAGGACAGCTCGGTAGAATCCAGTCTGACCTGCTATAGCTTTATTTTGTCCACCCAAACCGTTTGATGATATGCGTAACATTCTTTATTCAAATTTCTAACCTACCAACCATTTCTGCAACTTAAAGTGATTTAAAGCGATTGTATTCTCAGTTGAAAGTATTACCAGAAAAAAAAGTTCATTCAGTAGTATTAAACATAATATTAGTGCTATTTCTGAAAGCAATTACTTCTGTATACCTATTACTGTGCTTCACTTACAATACATGCAAGCCCATACACATAAGCAATTACTGTAAAGCAGCTGACAAGGTAATTCAGCACCCTGCAGTAGAGCATGTTCTCCAGCAAACTCAGCTCTTACCATCGGTTATAAAAAGAACGCCAGATTTTAAGTCTCTGCTGTTCAGCAAAAGCACTGCTTTGAATTCAGGTGAACATAATACTCCACTGCTGCAGTGAAATACAGACCTTGTTCGTCCTGTTTAATAATGTGTAACCACGTATGAAAGCTATGGGCCAGAAATCAGATAAAGGTAATGAAACTGTTTCATCCTCAAACTGACATTTTTCCTACAACAGGCTAGCACACAGAAAAGCACCAGTGAGTTGTTACCGGTGTTTTAGCCATTACAATTGCTGTGTATCATCATGATGGGACAAAGTATTTCAGAAAATTATCTGCAATGAGGTGTACACAAGAATCATTTCACTGCATTCTCTTATCAGCTAGTATGTAACACAATGCCTAAAGTATCATTTGAAAAGATTGTCATCTGAAAATTGGTGCTTTTCATTTGCACGTTATGCATCGTCCTGTGTACCACTTTAGTGCACATTCTTATGTACACAGGAAACCAAGTACCTTTGTACATGTTTATCATTGTAAAATCTCTGCAGAGGTGCCTGCTCTGATAGGCATAGGTTACTTCAACTGCAAAGCAGCAAAATTCAGGACAATTTTTCTGCAGCAGACTTGCTGATCAGATATACAGGAATGAGCTGAAGAATGGTGGGAGTCTTTAAATATTTTCCTCTTCCCCAACCTGAATTAAAACAACAACAACAAAAAACTATAAAAAACATTCACTGCTCTAAATGGTTAGATTATTCACTTTGTCACTCTAAAAAGAGATTCTTCATATTAGGAATATCCCAAGAGTGTGTAGCTTTTTGTGCAATGCAGCATCTCTGTTTTATTCCACATCAAAAATCTATACATATACAGAAAGAATTCCAGTTTCTTTCATGTCAATCACTGGCTTACTAAGAGTTTCAAGATACGCAAGGACTAGAAGTTTGTAACCAGAGTCTGAGTTCCATTGATGCACGTCACAACTCAAAAGCTCATTTTCGTCAGTATGCTTGAGTACCATTTGTCTGTCATTCCCGTCTAACAGATTTTCAGGAATTGCATAACTATCACCACAAGAAGTGACACCTTCACAGTAAAACTACTCCAAATGCAAAACTACTAACTTCTGTCACAAGTCTTTAAACAAGTGTAACAGCATTATTTAACTGACTCATACTACCTATAGGCCTTCTGCTATGTTCATAGAAATAATGATGTCCATGCGACATAGCTCTGCTGACTGAAATAAGGGCCAGAAGTTCTCTCGTTTTAGTAGGTGAGCAGAGGGCTTCACACCCTGCTCTGGAATCAGAAACCTACATCAGGTTTAGATAGATTTTACTGAATCAAAACACTTCTTGATCTAGACCTTCCTTCTGACAACAGTACTGGTAAGCCACAACTCTCACAGCATGATGATACTCAGCTACTCACATGTAGCACTGATACTGACTTCTAAAAATCACATCCCCCTCTAGGATTTGCTAACAAAACTCTACAAACTAGTGTACCCATACCTTGAATCACTTTTCTCTAGAACCTATTGCCTATAAATACTAGACAGAACATACACATTTCCTTTTCAGAAATAACACGATCCACATTTCAGCTAGAAAACCAATATGGGGATCTATATAGGCCACTCCAAAAGTGCCCTCCTATTCATTTCTATGGATATTATAACAAATACAAAGAGCCCAGCAACACTGCTCAATAGAGCAAATTCTCAGCTGCAAAACACAACAGCCGTGCATTTTCACAAGCAATGAACAAGAGCCTGCAAGCTACTTTTGTAAGAATCTGTACCAGTGGAGGTGACTCACTGTTTCACAGCTGCTGTCATGGCATCACTGCTAGGAATATGGTGCCCACACAACCCATGTTTTATCAGCCCTAACAACCGGAAATCAGAAGTCACCAAGTCTGGACTACATGGTGGGTGTAGTAGAACAGTCCAGTCAAGACGCACAACGTGCTCCATGTCTCCAAACTGGTATGGGGCCTGGTGTTACTGTGTCGCAAGAGATTTGTCTCCTTCTCTGGCCTAAGTCTGAAGCTCCAGCTTTCAGCTTGGTCAGCGCTGCAGCAAAAGTCAGAGCTGATGGCTTGTCCAGGTTCCAGGAGACCCAGAAGGATCACCTCTCTCCTGTCACCAAAGACACTGTGCACTGCACCCACTGAAGACCCATCTTCAGTGGACTGTGCACTGTACCCCACCGTACCCATCCTGAATCTTTTCTTTGATGAGGAATTCACACACTGCCACTCTAGTGTCTGCTGTTTTAACTCTGTCTCATAGTTGCAACAACACCTTGTCTCAATACCAGTAATGACATGATCCAGGAAACTGTCACCTTCAGCCTCAGACTGGTTCAATAGGTCCTGACAAACTGGCATATTGTGTTCTTTCTGCTCCTCTGAGAGAATTTGCTGGACCCATCTGGTGCAAACTTTGTGACATTCCAATGCATCAATGAGCGTCAATCAGTGCAATTTTTTTCCACGTGGAGATTCAGTGACACGCACTTCTTTACATGCTTCACATGCACCATTTTGTCAGATTGCCCCTCTGCTGCCATCTGTCACATGGCAACAAAGTGTAGCAAACATCAGAACATTTGCAGGAAGGTTCATCTTCTACTGCTGTACCCGAGGTCACAGGCCAACACAATAAAATAGGAGGCATTACTTCTGGAGCAGCCCTCATACTTGAGAAGTTTGGATAAAGCAGATGTCCTACCCTCAGAAGGAGACAGGAACACCAGTTTTAACCCTACTGTAACTACTGAAGATGCAGGCTGCAAGTAAGCCCTTTGTATTAATATAAATTCAGTGCAGAACCAAAAGAACGCACACGTCATCATCCATTTGCAGGTACTATAAACTGAAGCTGCAGCATTGAAAATTCTGACCAAAATGCAACTGTCAGCTGAAAGACTGATAAAGACTCCCTGACAGTCTATTAAACTCATATGTAAGCAACATAAAGTTCATTCCTTAATTTGATTATTTAAATGGGGACTGTAATGTTTTCATTACAAGAGGATTTAAAGCAAAGACTTATAAGACAGGCAAAGGGAATATAGTAATTAATGCATATGACTTCTCTCTATTTCAGTAAGACCTCACACAATGCCATCTTTTAGAGGTTATTAACCATATACAGTCTTCTGAGTTTTACAAAACGGGTCTGTTTTTTCCTCAATACCATCTCCTTTGCTATGGCTGTGATAAAGTTGCTTTCCTTTCATCTTGAGGTTGCCTCTTTCAAGTTGGGCATGCTACATATCAAGAAAGAAACCAAGTCTCAGAAACTGACTTACTGGTATCTCAGCCTTTCAAACAGGGTAACAGCAGAAAACACAGCATTAGGCCTTTATTTAAATTACCAACAGCTGAACTGAACAGAAGCAACCAAAGAAATCCCAGGAAAAATGGCACGATTAATAGACTTCTTTGGGGATAGAAATGTCTTCGCTATTTTACATATTACATATTACTATTACATACTTCTTTCAGTGTCTTAATATCCCTTTTCCAAAATTATACTAAGAACTCAGAATGATGAAGACAAAATACATTGCTTCTTTATGACTTATGATTTAATTCAAGCCATTTTCCACTCAAAATTTGTTGTTTGCCACGAACTATGATCTCAAAACCACAGGTTTTCCCTCTGATGGCCATCACAAGGATTTGCTCCTAGCATTCTATACCAAGTTGTGGCCCTTGTAGCCCTCCCCCTATGTCCTTACAATCTGTATATGTAGTCTGTGCAAATGTATCAAAGCAGTTATCTGATCCAACCAAGAGCTTATCGAAAGGCTACTTCCACCTGCAGAAGTTTAGAAAGACACACTCCAGAACAGAGATGACTCAGAGCTTTTCAGCAAGTTTCAGGTTTCTCACAAGCTTCTTTAGTGTGCTTTTATAAACAAAGGTACCCATTTTTTGTATTTCACACTAAAAATAACCTCAGAAGAATAGTCAGCCTTAATTTAAGAAAACAGAAGTGTACAGACTTGAGTCTTCAAGCATCAAGTAGTGAAAATATTCTTTTAGCACCGAAAAAGAAAGATTACACACTGCAACTCTGCCCACCTTGGAGAGCGACCATTTCACAAAGTCAGAACTACGCTGAACGTTCATTTCTGCTCACAGCAAGAAAACATTCTTGGAAAAACAAGAACGAACGAGAGAGATTTTACCAACATTTTAGAGCACACATGCCCTCTTCTCATGGCATTTCATCCAATTCAGAAGTAGAAGGAGATAAAGAACAGAGCTAAGAAAGCAACTTATTTAACCTTTGATTCTTCAGTCAACTATTCTATTAGCCAGCTCTTTATTTCTACACAAGTGAAGAAGACTCTAAATTTGATTTTCTCTAAAAATCTCTGCATAAAATTTTATTTCAAGTCATTTTACATAACTGTATTTCTCTAGCTTAACTTCGTTTTTCCACACACATGCATAACTTCTACTACTCTCCCCTCCTTATGAGTGATTCAGCACTTCTGAAGCATTCAAGCTTAACCCCACAGATGATCCTAACAGCTTATATTCTGGCCACTACAGCAAAATTCAAGACAAAAGGGTCTAACTGAGCAATACAAATAGTTAGGGAGTACATCCTCATCATATTACCTATAAATCATCAGTCTCAATACATCATGTAATATATAAGAAAATTTAGGTTAAAGGATACACAGTCCTAAAAACAGTGGAGGGGAAAATATACATACAGAAAAAAAAAAAATAAAATGACCCATACTACCATCTTAATTCCACTTCTGCCCAATGTATCTAGAGACGAGTTTTTCTTTTTTGAACATGCAAACAATCAATCCTAAATACAGATTTCTTTCTTCACCCAACTACAAAGGTATTTTTATTAGCTGTATAGGAGACAGTAAAACCTAACAATCAGGATTTATTACAACACTGCATTTTTTTTAATCTAGGAAAGGATAAAAGCAAGCAGTAAGAGGTCCATACCTTTTTCCTCCCAAAACAAAATGCTCATCTGCATGTTCTACAGTCCAGCTGCTTAGTGATATTCTAATAGTTTGTGGGTTGTTTTCCCTTTACATTGTAGGAATACTTTTTCTTCATTGATTACAGTGAATGTTAAGCAGCACAAAATAACCAAATACTGATTATTGTGTTATTGGTGAAACAGATGGAGGAGCAAATAAGAAAAAAAAATCTCACTCAATGAAAGATGAAAGAATCAAACTGGGTGAGGGAAGGAAAAGCTGTGGGAGAAAGGGAAGCCCGATGTTGCGCTCTGGGAATAGGAAATTTAAAATAAATAAGATAATAACAACAACACAAGCAATTCAGACAAGGAATATAATGAACCAACATTCAGTTAAAAGGAACAAAGCAAAATAAGTATCATGCCAGAAGAACAAAGTCAACATAATTCCAGCCTCCATGAAAACCCAAACCTAAAGAACCTTTCTGTGGGAATACTGCAGTGTTTGCAATGCCTCAGCTTAAAATGGACACTGAGTGGAAAGATCCATTTTACACAGTACTCAGCACCACGCATACCCCAAGAAATCAATACCGATTCTGTCAGCACTGATTTCTGCAGAGCTTTACCCCAGCAGGTAGGGAGAGAGAAGGTGCGGCATGGGAAGGATAGGCAATGGCAGCAATGTTCTTGTGAGAATGCTGGTTAAGTAAAGAGAATGGCACGCTCTCACCTCTGTGCGTTTCGTGAAAACATAACACAGAAACATGGGAGAAGCAATAGTCTCCAACCAATAGCACAGCCCTTTCTTCCATATTCCTCTCAAAAGAAGGGGCAAAGTCCACAGCGTGTAAGTTTATCGAAACGAGTGGTCTCACTTCAAGGGCAGCTCCCCAGATGCAGGGGATAAGCCTCTACACTTTCCCCAAAGAAAAGAAATACTGCATGACAATACTCGTGAAGAGAAAACAGAATTTGGAAGGATCTACACTTTTTCCAAGTCTCTAAAGTTTGCATAAACAGAGCACTTTCATTCTGCATGAGCACTGAGGGGGTAAGGAGGGAAGGTTGATCTTTGTAGTATACCACTGACATGGCTTATTCTTTTCTAAGTAACATCTGAGACATTTTCACAGTGTAAAAAAAAAAAAAACCAACAAAAATCTCACATGCTTCAAGAAGGTTGTGGTGCAACTTCAGAAGACAGTATTATCTTAAGTAGCTTCATTTTCCAACACAGGGACAATCTTTCCATGCCATCCAATGTATGGGTGCATTTAGATTCATCTGAACACGCACACTGTATCCAAATTCAATAGGCTAGAAAGCAACCTTTCTTCTCATGAAAATATCAAAACCATACAACTATTTCTAAGATTATACAGTAACTCCATATTAATTTCACATCTGAAATGTTACAGTATGAACAAAAACAAAACACATTCATACTCTGAAATTCCAAAAGAAGTGTAATTCATCAGGTAATGACTATACTACTGCTAAGTCTATATACACTAATATGCATTACCGTTTTTTTCTACCATGGCAACCTCACCCTATTCAAACCCTCTTTGTCTTCACTTTACCTTTGTAACTTATTGGTAAAAAAAAGTTTGTTTTTTTTTTAATATAAATTTGTAAAATGAAATTGAATAATAACACAGTTTAGAAAACGTTTACCCTACATCAAGTTGCTAAAAAAAAAAAAAAAAAAAAAAATTATCTAGTCTCAAGCAATTTCAGAAACATTTCTGTCCATATAAAATACAAGACTAGATTAGATCTCACATACACACACACAAAAAAAACCAACACACCAACTCCAGCCATTTTAAATTGGTTTTCACTGGTCATACACTAGCAGGAAACCACTACTGCATTTATTAGGTAGAGGATGATATATTCAGTGTCAAGTAACTCGCACCTTAAGTTTAGATTTCTAAAAAAAATTCTCCATACAACATTCCTCCATTGTAGAGCAATTTTGGAAGAAGCATTTTGATGATGATGGTATGAAGTCAAGCTACCAAAATCTGCACTGGTCAGACAAACCAATTTTGATTAATTACCATCAATTTTATCTACAGTTCAACTACTGAATCACCTTGAAACTTAAAATATTTTTAAATTAAGACACAGGAAATTATGTTCTTGTTTAATAACATTTTATATTAATTCCTAAAAACAATGGTAAGGGTCAACATTAAGCCTTGAAGATCTACAAAATAAAATACACAACCACAGTTCTGCATTACCTATTATTTTATTTTTATTTTTAAATTCCACAGAGAAGCCTCTTTTTACCCTACCTTGTTGTGTCTCTGCTGGTGCCTTGCCCTAGTATCCAGGACATGATAAGGGGTTTCAGAGTCTTTGTTGATGTAATAAATGAGTCTTGAAGGCAGTGTGATTTCCTTCTGAATTGCATTGCTGTTGCTGTTATTTTCACTGTTGTTACTTTTATTCAGTTGAAATGCATTCTCTTCATCTGCCCATACCCCTTCAGTTCTGCCTGCTGTTTCATTCCAGTGCAGGTCTGAGGAAAAAAGATACGCCAGCCATAAATTACATAGCAGAATACGTTTATTTCCATTTAAAAGTGACACACCAGCAGTGACAAACTCGTAGATTTCTAATATTTAATCAGATGCTCAAGAAAACAAAAAGAGTTTATTCACTGAGCTAGATCTGATTCATTTTCATAAATGGCTTTTGAAATAACGTTAATTATTTAAATGCACATATGTACATTTTTACATACAGTCATGGATAATAAATATTTTAACATCTTTCAGCCACCAAGAGGAAAAGAGTCTTACTGGATACAGTTACGCTCTACAACCTCCCGTGTCAGCGATGGTCTCTTCCACATCAAGAGATATACGTGCACATTAAAAATACATACACTTGTACAAGAAGATTGAGAATACTTGCACACACAGTCTACATAATAGGAAGTTCTCTACATCTTTTAACTTCGACAAGAGCCTGTAGCTTCAGTAGCACCTTTTCAGATGGAACGCCGTAGCCTTCTACCTTAAAATACAGTCAGCCAACGTACAGCATAAAATCGGCAGTGAGTCGAGTGGCAGAGCGGCTGTATGCGGTACTCGACACCAGCTCGGTCTCTCGGAAGCAAATAAGGGCACCGGCAGCCACGGAGCCCCGGCGAACAAGTTGGCTGCCGCTCAGACTCGCGCAGAAGCCACCTATGCCTTTTTGTCGCATACCTCAGCGGCGTTTCTCCTCACACCACCCTCCATAAAGCACTGCAGCACCGCCTCAGCACAGCGCGTTTTCCCCGTTTCACGAGCAAGCAAAGGAAATCTTTTCCGAGCGCAGCGTTACATACAGGGGAGCGGGCGCGTACGCAAGGCTGGAAAGGGCGGAGGAAGGGCTCGCTCGGCTGCGACGCGTCGCGTCGGGGTTCATCGCCCAAGAGGGAGGCGAGGGGGTCGGGAAGGGGCGCGAGGAGCGGCGGACGCCTCGCCCGCGGACCGGCCATACCCACCGTCTGCCGCCGCAGCCCGGGAGCGGGCGGAGCCGTGGAGCAGCAGGAGCGGCGCGACGAGGAGCGGCAGGAGCGCGGGGCGGCGGGGCCGCCGCAGGGAGATGCTGCCGGGCGGCTTCATGGCTCATAGCGCCCCGAGGCGGCGAGGGGGGCGGCCGGCCGGCGGGCGGCGCGGGGCCCTCACCACCGCGGGCCGCGCCCGCGGGGTCGGGAAGGCTGCGGGGGCCGAGCAGGCGGCTCCGCACCGCGGCACCCGCCCTTCTGCCTCCTCGCGCCGCCGCGACCGGAGTCCGCTACCTCGGCGCGAGGGCGGGCGGGAGCGGCGCGCGCGCACCTTCTCCTTTGCTCCCCCCCGAGCCGCACAGCCCCGCGGTAGGCGCAGGCGCGGCCGGGCAGTCGCCGTCCGCCGCGCCGCCACCGCCCCGGTGCGCGCCGCGGGCGGGCGCTCACGGCCCTTACGGCGCGTGGCGAGCCGTTACGCGCAGCCGTTAACGCCTCCGCCGGTGGCACCTGAGGGCGGGCTGCACGTTTCCTTGGCGAGGCCGGCAGCCCTCGGCGTCCGGTCGAGCGCGCCTGGGTGAACCAGCACGATGAGGAGAACCGTCGCGGAGATCAAAATAACTTCAGGCAGGTAGAAGATTAACCTGCTTCTTTGTAGTCCGTACGCAGCGTTGGCAATCAGGAGACCTTACAGCTGCATTGCCTCAGATAGCGGGCTGGACGCTGAGCTCTTTGCGTGCGTTTCACCTGCAGACTGGCAATATCCAGGAATAGATGCACTTTATTTGGGTGCAGGCCTCCCAGTTGAGGAAAAAGGGCGATTCTCCTTTTTGCCTGGATCCCCTTTTTCTTATTCATCCTCTGCTGAGTGCCGGTTCCACACAGATTTCCAAAAGTACAGAATTTTTCTCTGCTTCATCTGGCTCTTCAGCAGCCAGCCCGAATTAACACAAACTTTGTATCACCAAATTAATTATCATTGCTAATTTAGAAGATACAAGAAACTTTGCAGATCATTACCATGCAGACTGTTTTACAGCAGTACCATTACTGATATATATATAATTACCTTTTTTTAAAACCACAAAACCGTTCTGATCTGCACATGCCCCTTACCTACCAGCATGTGCTGGTAAGACAGTGCTGCACATGGAAGTTCAGAATTAAGCACATAATGGCAGCCAGGAGAGAGCAACAGAATGGCCCAGATTGAAGGAAAAAAGTAAAAAATAAAAATGGAGAAAATGCCTTAGGATTGCTGTTGTGTGGAACTATGGAGAACCTCTACCAGTTTTCTATACGAACTGATATTCCTTGATATGTATTTTCCCAGACACTTTCCATACAACCCAGCTGTTCCTCGGCTTCGGTCACCAGAACCTCTTAAGCAGCACACATAGTCTCCCACTCACACTGCCACACTGCTCAAGCTGTGTTTTATGAAGCTGATAAAAAGTTTCAGGTGGCCATGCAGATGGGAGAGCAAAGTCACTTCCATGTGAAATACCCACTAAGAATGACAGCTGCCTTTTATTTTTTTTTAAAAATCAGCTTTCGTCTTTGAAAGACTGAAATAATCCCAAATGAATTGTACTGTGAATATCTGAAAGCAAGATACCAGAAAAAAGGATTATCATAGTAACATCTGCGTCCAATGGAAGGAACTGAAAAGTGTGAGTCAGAGGCACGCAGAAAAGCACTGACAGTCAGTGCTTCGATATTTGGCTATGGAAAAAACATGTATTATGCAGGGCAGATACGTATTTTCAGTCTAGGTGCTAAACAAAGCTTGCCTCATGGCTCCAGACCATTTCCCAGAGCTTTTAAATTCATCACTTGCTTATCAGCATGGGGGTTAGCAAACACATGGACTGAAAATGCAGTGCTGCAATTCAAATTGAAAAGACTTAAGATGCAGAACTGCTGATATTGTCTTTACTGTCTTCTCTATTCATGCTTGACAGCCAGTCAGGAAATGGGAGCCTAGGCTCCATGTTAAAGACACAACCTTTCTACACAATCAAATCTTTTTTGTGGTATCACCTGAAAATACAGCGTCAGTGTATTGCTTGACTTGGAAAAAGTTACAGAAAACAGCCTTTTTAAGGAACTTTCTCCTTACCCAACGCCTAAATATTGGTCTTGCTGACTGAGCATTATGGAAGTGCATCTCACTGGGATGCGAGGAAAAACTTCAACAGCAGTAAAAGGTATGTTCAAACACCTAACAATTTCAAAAATCAAGTTAAGCCCTGTAAGGTGCACTGCAGGTGAGGCGTTCCAGTATGTTGCTCATAGAGACAAACTGGTTACTGATTTTATGGAAAGAGGAACATTTTTCTTGCAGACAAACACGAAAGAGACAAGTTCGTGAGGTACAAACGTTTACTGCTTGATGAAGCAGTCATCTCTTTGCAAGAATGGCATAAAATCACCATCGAGTTCACAATGGTGATGATCACTGCAGAATCAAGTATCAGAATTGGATATTGAATATTCAGCTTAACAAGGAGTTTCCAAGCACAACTAACCAAGGCTGCCTTGATAATTACCAGGAGCACCTGGGTAGCTCAAGACTAGTCTTGGGTGACCAAAGGGCATGCACCACAGCAACCAGGCAGCAGAGCAGAAGCATCCGCTGCTGAGCTCTGCTGTTAAGTGAGCACAGTAATCAAGCATGGTTATGACTTACTGATACTACTGCACAATTAGCAGGCTCAGCCATAGGCAAAGGTCCTGTTGTGCCCTGTGTCACACAAACATTTTCTTCTGATTTGCAGTAGCACATAAGTCAGCCAGTGCTGTAAATAACACAAATCTAAGAGCCTTGGGCAGGAGGGGGTATGAAGCACACAGGACATTGAGGAACAGTAGAACTTCATTAGCTGGCACAGAGCTAATCCACACAACCTCTAATGTGCACTCCAAAGAAGGCGGTAGCCGTTCTGTTTCTCAGCAGGGGAATAAAAGCCAAAACAAAGCTGCACTGAAACTTCATGCAACTCATATGTAATTACTTTTATAAAATATACTACAGCACGTATAAAAATATCAGATATAATACAAATAATTTATACTTTGAAGAAACCTGGGAATTATAATTAACAATGCAATGCATGAGTATAACCTTTTTAAAATAATACATCATGCACTGATCCTCAATATTCAACTATTCTCAAATAACAACTCAGTCATCAGTGTGAAGGAGAATATTTCCATCAGAAAAGCTGTTTTGATTTTTTTCCCCTCTTACATAAAAGATGTCCATGTCTCGCTGTGCATCCCTCCATCACAGCAGCAACCCAGCATTTTGATTTTACTGTTTCACTTAGTTTTATTAAATACATTTCAGCAACCGAGGAAGACAGCACATACATTGCACTAATGCAACAAACACAGAAGAGATTCAGGAAACTGTTTGCTCTAGATTCTACTGAAGCATCACTTTCCAAACTATAGATCTAGCAGCGCAGTGTTTCTGCTGCCTCTTCACCTTTGCAATTTTTATTTCAACCTCATACTCTAGAGGAAGAACATTCTCCTGTTATTCAGTAGTTCAGAGTTCTAACTACAGCTTTCCCCTCCAGTTTCTACTGGGCACAACACTACCTTACTATTATAGAGGACAGTAAAAATGCAATTTCTTCCATTAGAATTGCCACTCATTTACCAAGCTTTGCTTGGTTGGCGTTACAGCTAGCTATTCTTCTCCACAATAGTGCAACACAAATGAACTCTTATGAGCACCATCTGTTCCAGCACCACAGGTTAGAATATACATGGTAATCAGAATATACTTTTCATCTCCTCCCTTCAACATTGTGAAATATTAATGGTAAATTGAAGTAAGATGATAAAACAAATGTATGTTAGCTATATGTGGCAAGGGAGACAACACAGCTGTGCCACTGCTATCAAACAAGTCCAAGGTTTGATTAATTACAGTTCAATCTGTATCCAGGTGAAACCTAGCATCAGTAAGATACTTCTCATTGCAGGAAAGTTTTATTTTGAATAAATCAAACCAAACCCATTTCAGACTGAACTCGCTTGTGAGCATGCATTCATAACCAAAGGATTTCACAAGCTGTTTTTAGGGTTCCTTGGCAATGTTGAAACTTCTGCATGAAGTTATTGCATACTGCAAGTGACTGCAGTGAGGTATTTTTGCCACTGGTGCAAGCATTTTAGTTCTAAAGGCTGCAGTTATTCACCATATTGTCCAATTTATTAGTAATAGAGAGCAGAAGCAGAAACATGCTGGTCAATCTAGAACACATCTGTCATCTATTTCAATACAGATATACTTAGCAAGTAAAATATAAGCTACCAGCAGAAAAAGTGCTGCTCTTTTAATAAGCACTTCACTGTGTCACTGTGGCTGTGACATTAGGCCTGGGCCTCGCTAGTTCTTTTCACTCGTGTTATCATGCAAAGACAGTGTCAAGAAAGAAAAAATGGGGTGGCAGGGAAAGTTTCACTGAAATATTTTTAAGTGAGTGCAAGTTGAAGTGTAAGTAGACACAGCCCATGTTCATATCCTAAGGACTTGCCACAGCTGATCAGATGCTTACAAGTGTAGGTTCTGGAAAAAACAGATTGCAGCTACTTTGGTGTGACTTTGCAAAGGGAACCTATCGGCACTCTTTCCTTGACCCATTTGCACATGCCAAAAAAGGGCTGCTAGGGATCTCTCGAGTTATTCAGTCAAGCCCACACTGGCTATTCTATTATGCAATTCCTTTCATACATTGTTTAAAAGTAACTAGAGGTTTTGGCCTTCCAATACCACTGGAAAGCTGCTCCAGCAGCTCAGTGAATCACTATGTAAATCCTCCTACTACCCGTCTAATTTTATTCATGCCTAGCAGAAACCTATTTGTTCCTGTGCCAGCACTAGCATTAACAGCTTATTCCCCCTGCTGGTTGAAATGTCCAGGATGTCAATGCTTACAGCATCAAAGCCCAAGAAGAAATGGGTAAAAACATGAAACTGCAGATGAAAACAGAAAGGATGTTATCTTCAGCACAGAGACGGCCAGAATTGCAAGGGCCACATTATCTTGAGAGGAGGAAGGAACGTGGCCATGCCAGCATAATCCTTACTTGAACTACTGAAGCTCACCAAGAAAAGGAATGTGCTAGCTACAGCTGCTTGTAGTAGGAAGCTGGTTCTCTGGACACAGGCACACAGCATTTAAAAAAGTACTATAGTTGGTTTTTTTTTTTTTTTTTTTTTTTTTTTAAATGTTCCCAAAATTCTGAAAGAACCCTACTCTTTCTCCAGCATTTGCAGGTGTTGTGGGTGCTGCTCGAGTAACAAATCTTTACAGTCCGATTTTCTGCACGCCTCCAACAGATCCCTGTGCTGATGTTGCTGCCATCACTGCTGTAATTCTGTGTTATAAAAGGTAGGTAAAATGCTGAATAGCAGCAGTGTTAGTCAGGAGAGGAAAGCCTCGGTGTTTCCATAAAATGCAGCTCTACGAAATAGGAGAAAAATAGAAACTGCTACATCCAATTATGCATTCTGCCTTTCCTCCATAGATAAACTTGGACCAGTTTCCCTGTTCCTTTCCTAATTAGGCATAGGGATGAATCATCAGATGTGAAACACGCTATCCTGAAAGATCCCTATTTGAGGACATCTATAGGATTTGGCACTGACTCCTCATGAGACCCTAGATCAATATCCAAGCATCACTTATGATGAATTTATAAGAAAAACTAGTGTAAAGTGATACCAAAATATTGCACTAAAGGTTAAGGATGCCCCCTACATTTGAGCTGCTATTGGGTATTTTTTTAATTATATAAATAACTGTGTTGAATATGGCATAAATGGAGATGTCTATCTATACCTGTGTATGTGTGTAAATAGCATACCACATTGGTATATTACCACCCTTCTCCTAGCCTTCTTGCCCCTGCATTCTAAGCTCAATTTCTTAAAAGTTTGATACACAACTATATAACACCACCTTTTGGCTTTCCCTCACTAACTGGTGCAGACCCATGGGTTCCCAAATTTTGAAGAGGTCTCTCAGATTTGGTGATTCTCAGTACTCACCTACCAAAGTCACTGTCTAGTAATATCAACACAGCAGATTTGTAACATCACAACAAAATTATTCACTTCCCAGTGAGCACTTTTCATAATTTCTGCAGTCAGTTCTTTCAGCAGATTCCTGCTTCCTAAGAAAGCTGCAAGAGATCTTTCAATTCCCCAAAGATAAAAAAATAATCTAAAGTCAACAATATTTACTAGCTTACTAGACTCAAGCTGTCAACACAGTAATGCAGTGAATGTTCTAGGCGATTACTACTTCTATTCTGTCAGTTTGGTACACAGGAAAATGAGACCCATCAGTCTTTCCTAACGTAGAATTAATCTCTCCAACTTTCTGCTTGTTTTCTTGCCCAAGGTCTCAGTCACAAACCTCTCTAACACACAAAAGTAAAACAAGCCCCCACAACCACGATAGCAGATACTCCACACTCACCCTCACAAGAGCCCCATACAATCTGACCGTGTGGATTGCTACATCAAGAACCAACACTCGAGGATATGAAACTGTGCTCTTTATCCCACAGCTTCCATTCTTCCTTTCGCCCATGTGAACTTACACTTAGTCACCCTTCAAAGACCTTATTATTTCTTTACATGCATATGTTCCCCATGATTACCTGGGGTTGCTTATCCCACTGTTAACCATAAAGTTTAAACACACATAATTATGGGTTGTTATTATGGAAATGCAGCAGGTCTTGACAACTTAACGGAAATTAAAATAGCATTATTGTACCCTGCGCGCAGCATCTTTGCAGCATACATGATAGAAGTAGTGCTAGTTCTCTTATATCCCTTCTCCCCACTGTGGAAAATCCATCCTTTTTTCCTCCCCTCTCTCTGATTACTCATAAAACTACTACTTACAGAGAATTCATGAATTTGCTTTTCTCTAAAATTCTATCCACATCTTACGGCTAATAAACGCTCCAAATTTAACCATCTTCCAGCTTCTCCTGCATTATCTTGCTGCAGAAAACATTTGCTTATTGTAAGCAATTCCAGAAAATTAGCTGAAAGGAACCAATTTGCTGATAATCAAAGCAATGCAATTATCAAGTTAGTGAGCAAGAACCAAAATCAAAAGGAATCACAATTCTGAGTAAATTGGGATTCAGACCAAACCCTCTTCTCACGACAAAGGCGTGCCTGAAACTTGCATTGTATGGCTGCAGAAGTCAAGAGCTTAGTTACAGAAACTGAATTACTTTTAGTTTTTATTTCTGTTCCTATGTGCTGATGCTGCACATTGAGCTTGAAGTGCACAAGGACTTTATAAATAGATAAACTCCAAATGGTAGAGATTAAAGCATAAACCTGTAGGGAAACATGACTAAAGACACAAAGCAGATTAATTGCACAGTTAGAAATACAATCTGACCTCTGCAGACCAAGGTTTTTCCCACTGGACAGTACTTTCCTGCTTTTACATTAAATTGGCCTCATCCCAGAATTTATGCTGCTCTCCAACACTGCTGCATAATCAATGAAACTTCCATTTACCAAAGAGAGCCTACTGAGCACAAGACGTCTTTTTCCTTATTCTGGCAACTGATAAATTGAGTTTTCTTATAGAAAACTGCATCTTAACAGCCACAGCCATCTATTGATTTAGCTGCTTTTTAAGCAATACAGCAGTCTTTCATAATATTATGCCACCTACCATTTTTATGGAGGAAATGACAATGGCTGAACTAACATGGGCATGAAGTATCAGTGTACGTAAAGAAGAAAATGAAATGATATTGAGAATGAAAGCATAGCTGAGTTATGTAAGCTCTTCTGCATTATTTTGCTAAGAAACAATCAGAGAAAAACCATGCAATTTTAATCCAGCTCTAGAAGATTGGCCACTCAACAGTACAGTTCAAAATCACAGCCTGTTTTATAATACCTAAACAATCACACTATTTTCTTGACCCCAACAGTTTTACCCTTGCCTTTCCCACTCTACACTGTAGCACAGTGCCCAGACCAGTGGAGAACTGCAGCGGTCACTGTGCAGGAGCTACCATGCTTGAGTATTCCCTGATTTCCAAGCATAAATACAGGTTATAGCTGCCAACGCGTTTCATGTGACTTTGAATTCTCTGTGGACCTATCCTCAGCAGCATGGCCACCTTCAATTTGCCTTCACTTCTGTTTTGTTCTCTTTTAGAGAGGAAAATGCTGGCCACAGCTTACTGAGTACTTCCTCTTCACTGCTGGGCTACCAGGGAAGTTGTATTTAGCAATTCCTAATGTCAGAGCAGCCCTTACAGATGTGGCCATATGACAACAGCCTTCTGTCTGGGCTTAGATAAGCACACAAATTGGCTTAAAGTGGCATTTAAATGCTGGCTTCTGGAACTCTTTCATCTCACACGTGCAGAGGTAGTGAGTTGCAGAGCCAAAACTGGCATCTCTACTGGAAGCATTAATGTGCTTACCCAGTCAGGGTATAAAATATAATTTGGTTTATACGAGCTGTCATACAGCTGAACTGTAGAGCTCAAACTTAAAATATTCATGACCATCCTAGCAGTCTCTTCTTTTTCTTCTTCCCCTCCAAGAGAGCAATGAAGAAACAGTCTCACATTTTCAGATATAACTATTTGTTTTACAGAGAGAACATCTTTTGTTGGGCTGCCAAGCTTGAGTCATCCCTACAGAGTCATTTCTAGAAGCATGCACACAGAACTGACAGCTGATTGCAAGCTATTTCCTAACTTACATAAAGATTTTAAAGGTTTAAAAGCAACCTAGTAAAATTAAGAAACAGAAACCTTTATAGCTTCAAATATTAATAAAAATTATTGTTTTCTGTAGTTATGAATAAATTTTTTTAATTCACAGTACTATGCCACTGAGGAAATGATGCATTTAAACTGCAGAAGAACACTCTGAAGGTGGAGGTACGATAACTGCCAGCTTGCTACCACAGTTCGGGCTGCCCTGCTTGCCTCTCCGCGCCATGGCTCTGGTGATGGACCTCATGGGACTCCAAGCAACAGAAAGTGGCACAGGAGCAATGGACTCTTAACAACTTCACCATCAATACTGCTAGGAGAAGAAATGCAGCCTGCTAGCTGTGCGGGACAAAAGAGGCAACAAAGAAGCTCTAGCAGGTGACCATGTTACACTACTAAAGAGGCAAACAGCAGAAGTTAAAGTTGTTACCACCTACAAAGTCCAGGTAAGCAATTTTTGCTTTTGAATTTTTCACTCACTAGAGATAGGAGTGTTATAGTAAGGTTTCAAGTTCACTACTAATTTGAACCATTAAAGTGATACTCATTTTGCTCTGAGAAAAGGCTATCTTCTTTGATCATTTGCTGAATCTTTAAGTAAGCAGGATGAATGGATTACTTGACGTGCCAAACCAAAAATGCATTCCCTTCCACTTCCTTTGAAATAAAGTTAACAATGCATAGGATAAGGTTCGTGCTAAGTCGTTATAGACCACAATTCTCTTTCCTGCTAGCCCAGTCAATTGCAACATAAATTCAGTGTTTTATAACTTTCTTGGAGACAGGAAAAATCTAAAATTCAGGTATTTGTCTCAAAGAAGTTTATTTCCTTGGTATAAGTTGTAGCCCAAGAGCATGCTCTGAAAGAGAACTGTGACAAAAGGTGCCAAGTACTTAGCCAGCCGACCTCTCACCATCACTGTTGCAAAGCACATTTTAACATATGCGTGTAGCAGAGAGATATCAGTGCATCAGCCAAAATGGGTCAATGTTGTCCAGGTAATCCACGGTAAAGAGAATCACAGAACTGTAGGAGTTGGAAGGGACCTCTAAAAGTCATCAAGACCAACCTCCCTGCCAAAGCAGGTTCTCTACAGCAGGTCACATAGGCAGGCATCTCAATGGGTTCTGAGCATCTCCAGAGAAGGAGTCTTCACAGTGTCTCTGAGCAGCCTGTTCCAGTGCTCTGTCATGCTTATAATAAAGTAATTCTTCTTTGTATTAGTATGGAACTTCCTATGTTCCAGTTTCTGCCCACTGCTCTTTGTTCTATTGCTGGCTTATAGTCAACCTGCTGTCCACCAGAACACCCAGGCCTTTCCCAGCAGAGTTCCTCCCCAGCAGGTCAGCCCCTAACCTGTATTGATGCGTGTGGTTATTCCTCCTCAGATGCAGGACTTCACACTTGCCTTTGTTGAACCTCACCAAGTTCCTCTCTGCCCAACTCTTCAGTCATCCTGGTCTTGTTGAATGGCAGCACAGCCTTCTGCTGCATCTGCCACTTCTCCCAGCTTTGTATCATCAGCAAACTAGCTGAAGATGGACTCAACCCTTTCATCCAGGGAACTGATGAAGACGCTGAACAAGAATGGACCCAGCACTAACTCATAGAGAATGCCACTAATAACAGGCCTCCAACTAGACTGTCACATAGCTGATCACAGTTGTCTGAGTTCTGCCAGTTTACAGTCCTCAATTCACTTCAGAATCCTCCCAGCTGGCTTACTGCTGCATGAACACAACTGCTGTCTCTTGCAGGTTTCAGGACAAGCACAGCATCCTTTTGTCTTCACCATCCCTGGGCTTCTTGCTCTCATGCCTCTGTTGGAATTGAGGCACCTGCAAAAGGGGACTTTGGAACTGTATTGGAAGCATGACCCCTCTGAACTGCTGTGGAAGAAAGGGAATTCTCCAGGCATGTGAAGGAGCATCTTAGGTTTCAACACACAATTTTCCCTCATTAGTCAACCAGCTTTTTTTTTACTGGCCTCTTTTTGGATCTTCTGCTGTGATATTACATTGTCACTTCAATGGAAGTGAAAATAATGAGACAAGAAGTGCCAAATGCTCATTTAGCAAACCCCATAGCATGTCTTTCACAGAACTCAGATAGCTGTGTGTGATAGCACAAGGAGATACCAAGAGATCCTTCGCTGCCTCCTCTGAAAATCAACACTATTTTGATGGAAGATGCTGCCATTTCTTCTTATTTATCACGCCAAACTCAACTTCCATCCAGCATAAATCCTGGTGGGATTTGAATTATGCTGACAACAAGTCATGTTACCTTTCCAATTGACTCTACAGATAGCACAGATTTCTCAGATTTTGTTTAAAGTATAGTTGTCTTCAGCTATGCACAGGGATTTTCCCACCACCTTGCCCAACAAACACTTCTGTCCAAATATGAAAGTTAACTGAATATTCGGAAGGCTCTCTGCTCAGGGCAAATTGTAATTAGCATACTATGTGCCAGGAGGAAAAGGATTAGGCCTCCCCCAGCCATCTGCTGAGTATGCTTTGCCAATGTCAGATGAGTGTTTTACTCGATAAACTGCAAGAATATATCCAGTTACAATATTGTAACTTCATAGTTGTCCATTAAAAGTATGATTTTGCCTAGTGCAAAAAGGAGAGGTGCAAGTTCAGCACAGAACGATAAGATAGAATTATGTTTTTGAATCATAGGTTTTAACTTGGGGCATATACTGACATCAGGGGAAATGTCTGCATAATGCAAGCGTTCAGATTTCATAAGTCACCCTCAAGACATTCATATTTGCTGAGCAAATCCTTACGTGAAGAACCATCTAAGTAGGAAAATTTAAACTGGCTTGTTAGATGGGGAAAAAAAGACTTTGAAATTTATTTGGAGAAAGTAACGCTCTAGGGGCTAAGAGGAAGAGAAGTAGTGATCCCCTCAATTCCCATTTGTCACACCATTTTTTCAAAGTATTTTCAGTTAAGATAACAGATAAGTTCTACTCTGTAGAAGAATAATTAAATTTGCAAGTGCATTTTGATAATATTCCTACATTATGTTTAATTGCAGTCTGAAATCAAACACACTTGTCTTGTTTTCAGTTTCCTACCAGGAGATTGGAGTTCCAGCTGTAGATGAGATTATGCCTCTTCAGATGCTGAGCTACTCAGAAGCAGGTAAGACATCATTACTGAGACACGTAACTACACCTGACCCTGCTTGGACTTGGGAATTGCTTGGGAGCAGGTATGTTTATATATAGCAAGGAAATCATGGAGAGCTTGGGACGTGAGCCCCACAGCAATCCACCAGCTCTGTGACCCTCATGCATGTGCCCTGCAGGTGAGCCCTCCTGCTAGGCCTTCAAGCTGAACAGGAACTTAGTGTTTCTCTATCTCCTAAAACAAATAGAAGAAACTTGAGGAGAGGAGATAACATGTAGCCTACTGCCATTTTATGTCCGAAATCAGGATAGAAAATGCTTACTGGTAAGTTAAGCATCAAAGATCAGCTTTCCTCTTGCTTCAGTGTATTTACAGTCTACTAGGTGGATCCTAAAAAATGACTAAAAAGAACAGAAAACTTTACCAAGAACTGCTGAACAGCTGTTTTCAGAATCAGAGCATGAAGTACATTGTAGGGACCAAACCTGGACAGAGCTTTACACCTAGAAAGAATTCTCCTTATCTGCAGTTTCTGTAATTCCTTTAATATCTATACCACAGCAGCTCTACTGCACTTATGTCACAAGAACAAGTCTTCACACTGACACATTTTAAAAATAACTCATGAGTAAGATCTTGTTCTCATTTCTATAAAACCTCTCCTCCCAATGATAAAAACTAGTTAATAATTTAACAAAGTAATCCAAGTGTTCTAAAAATGGCACAGGGCCATTTATATTTAAAGAAAGTGCTTAGTTATAGGAGATTAATCTGTGAGAAAGGACTATTATTTTGTAATGCAAACACTTCCAAACCATCTACATTGGCTCCCAATATCACTTGCCTGTGGGTGACTGCTGGCTATTCACTCCTTGACCACTCTCATATTAGAAAATTGTTTCATTGAGAAAAGAATGGTTGCCTGCAACCTAAACTATGACTCCACAAAAGGTTAATGCAGTTTGATTCATGCAATTGAGGTCTTAGTCCATCACATTAGCCAGGCTCTACCAAAGTCACCCCCTGCAATTATTTTTTTTCTTAATCTGAAAATAGGAAAAAATTGGAGATTTTATGTTTCTTTGGTGTATTCTGGAAGATTTGAAGATTATCAAGGACCTCTATTTATTTTGAATGCCAATTTTTATGTATTAGTTTCAGGTCACCTAGGGCCTGATCCTAATAAATAGCTAGCAAAGACTAGCTGTTTCCAGACCATTCAAACATCTAAGAATAAGTGAGTGCGTACACTGATTTGAAACTAAAGTCAAAATTAGTGAGCATTTTCAAAATACTGCTTTTAAGCTTCTTACCTCCCTTTCCCCACCTTTAAAACAAGCACAAGACTAGTTTATCATGAGAAAACATTGTCAAGAACAATAACCAAATAGCAATGGAAAACGAAAAAAAAAATATGCATTTTTGTTGTCTGGTTAGTGCATCCCAACATCCTCTACATTTCACCTTGTAGGCTGAAAGCACAAGTATTTTTAAATGTTGTGATTGGCACTTACGTCCCGAGATTTTTAATAAGTTTTAGCCTGCCTAAATGGTAATAAAATTTTATAACCCAATCTATGAATGCAGAATACTGAGCTTGTGGATAACTCACAGTGAAGCCTGAAAGAAAAATTATGGTTCCAGGGCATTTTCTGATTTGGTTTATAAATAGATGGTTTTGACACAGCAGTCACAAAAATAAAGCTACAGTTAGCAAGCCTGAGGCAGCTGTACAGCTGGGAGAAGCGCGTACTCTGGCAGCCGGTCTGTGCTATCGCCTGTGTTGTGATACATGCTATCAAAACACCAGTTAAGAATACAGCGAGAATCAGCATTTCAGCTCAAGGCAGAGTGACAGGAAACAAGCTTTGATTTTTATGTTATCCAATATGTAAACCATTGAACAAAAGCAAACGATTTAGATTCCTAATTGGAAGCAGCAGATAAACGTAACAATACAAACATTTTTGTCCTTCTTCATGTGAGACAGGTAAATTAATGTGACTTTCCTGTATTTGCAAAGAGTTTTCAGAATGATATGGCTTATTTTGCTACACAGTTGCATCAAATGAACAGAAATATTTTTGGAATCTGAATAGTGGAATGAGTACTCCATTGAATAACAAATCCTCTTTGGGGAATGATCCAGCTATTTCTGCAACTGGAGGTTTTTGCATTTACACCAGCTAATTTCAGACCAACCACGTGGATGAATATTGTGCCACAGCTGGAGCAGTCTGACAGTCTAAAGCAGTAAAAAGCTTCAAAGATTTCAGTTGAAGCTTCGAAGCAGGACTCCCAGAACTAATGGAAACCTGCTGGTAATCTCTAAGTTGATTTAAGCTCCAACTTACTGCGGTCCTGTTCTATTATCCTTCGCTGAACAGAACAGATACAGCAAATCTGAAGTTTAATTTGTATAAAATCAGGACCCACATCCAAAAGTTTCAGAAACCTCACTTACTTCAACATAATAATTTGTTGATCCATCTTTGAATGAAACAATTTCTAGCCAACAAATAAAGCCTAACACATGCTTAAATTTGAATGAATAAAGCCTTGATGTCACACAGTGAATATCATGAAGGCCTTTTGCTATATTCAAAAATCTCTTTTTAATCAAGAAAAATATTTCCTTCCCCTTTACTTAACACCTCTTCAAACATTCTTCTTCAGCACAGTAGACACAGACACATATTTTGCAATCACAGAAGAAACATTTCATGTGCGCTGACAGAACATTACAAGGTTGAAAAAGAACGGATACACTTCCACACACTGTTCAGTAAGTTTTCTTGAGCAGTTTGAGATCTTATGTAACCTTTGCTTACATCATCAGCATTAAGTTTGAATGTTCACTCAAAAATGTAAAAATTGAGCAAAAAGCATGACATTTAGCATGTAAATACTCCAGAATTCATCATCTAGAAAAAAATGCACACTTTTCTAGAAAGCACAAACATGAGAAATGGTTATGAGTGATAGGCCACACTGAAGAATTAGAAACATGAAACGAAGTTAAACATCAGGTTATTAACCTGCACTGAATTTCACCACCCAGTCCTTTCATATCCACATACAGACTGAGCATTTGGATTGACAAGACAAACTCACAACTTCAATAGTTTGCATAAGATTTCCAGAGGAGTATGCCTGAGCTAGAAGCTGATGTCCTTCCCCCCTCTCTAGATGTAATTCAAGAACTTGGTAAGAATCATACAGTATGATGACAGTGGATTCACAAGCAACCTTTTTGAAAAATGTCAATTCTTTCCCATTATAAAGTTGAGATAAATTACCATATTTACAAAACAGAAAGACAGCTCTATCCTCCTACCAAAGACAGACCAAGAACTTGAACCAATGATACCAACATGGCACCATACACAAACAAGAAAATGAAAACAAATCCCCGTTGTAAATTTAAACGTAACAAGACAGACAAAACAATTACATGCTGTGAATGTAAATTCAGCTCCCCAGTAGAAATTTATCCAGTTTTTGCTCATAACAGATTTAAAAGCTCTGTCCAGTATTACTGGCACAGCTGTTCTACAGCACTTCTACTTACATCCCTAGCTGCTGAAGTAGATATCACTGGTGCCACTTAACACAGCTTGCCTTTTTGCACCACTGTACAGAACGGTTTGAAGAAAGCAATGGCAGCACAAGCCAGCGAAGGAATTCTGTTTTAAACCACCTTCCACAACCCATTCTCATCAGAAGCTATTTAATCTGATTAGCAGAAAGTCAAAATATAATTTCAAAGGAAATTGTAAATTGACTGTAAAAAATTGACTGTTTTTTTATTTTTTTTAAATACAGAAATCATTTAAAAAGCTCTCAAAGCTCAAAACAAGCCCCAAAGAAAGAAGCCACAGTGAGTTACCCTGAGCATTACATTTGCAAAATTTCATTAAATTTAATTAACACAAAGCCAGTTAGAACAAAATATTAGACATAAGGCAAAGCAAGCCAAAACAAAAATCTCAGACAAAAACAAATGGTTCTGTGAATCTCAAGGAGATGATAGGAACAGAAGGCTTGCCAAAATACAGCTGTCCAATTTAATGACAAATGTTTTTGACATATAAAAAGCACAGTCCACGTTTCTTCCCCCTTTAAGAATGTGGATCTTATGAAGAAAAAAATGAATATGAATTTTTAACCAATTCTTTTCTGCGAATTAAATTTTTTGTTTTCTGACATGCTCTGAAGTTATACGAAATAAGGGAAAACAGAAGTTGACCCTGGCTGCACAGTAGAGCTGAAAAGGATGCAGTAGCCAACAGAACAAGACACAAGCACTAAAAGCATATGTAGATACTTGGCCCTCTTCTAAAATTTTCTTGAAGAGGCAGAGACATATGAAGACATAAGCAATAGCTTATTGTGTAATTACTATATATGTGATAAAGACAAATGACACTAATCACACCCTAATCTCTAAGAAAATAAAAATGAACAACACTGCATCACAGATGGAATTCTTTTTTAAAAAGGGAGGACTGTAAGGGAGAAAAAGCAAAGGAAAAAATGACTACTAACCTAATCCTTGTTACAGAATTTTCTGTAAACTTGGAAGTAAAAAAAAAAAAAAAAAAAAAGTTATTTTCAGTTCTGTATTATTTTCTGTTACTGTATTACCTCTTAAGCTCTTAAAAAACAAAAAAGGACCTGTGCTTACCAACGCATTTCACAAAAAACATGGAACTCCAACATTAAACAAAGAATACTGAAGATAATTCTGGATAATATTGAACACTTACGTGTTCTTGTGTGGTATGAACATTAACTAACTAGTAGGTGAAAGTACAGACTGACCCAACTTTATCGTGCCCCAAATTCAACCCAGAACTGCAATACGTCGGCAATAATTTAAGAAACGACAATTTGCTAAAACAAAAAGGGAGAATGAAAATATTAGACATTCAGAAATCTAAAGACATGAAATACCTGTTGCAAAAACTCAGTATTTTTACTTTTAATTGTACGAAGGCTGAGTCTAATGCTATTAAAAAGTAAAGAAAAGCACAAGTTTCTCTCATCCTTTGGTCATCTGATGGATTGGTCACTACTCAGAGTTTTAACAGAGCTGTTTCCAGAGTTTGGAAATTCCTGCCAGTGGCCGCATACTGCCTTACAACTTCTTCATTAACTGCTTTCTTCTAAAAGAAACAGGTGTACAACCTTTGTTATACTCCTTTCTCCCCTGTAAACAGTTGCCCAAAGGACCAGAAGTGAAAAAAGAGAAATACCATCCATGTTTTAAGCAAATAAGTGTAACGTGCCAGGAGAAAGAATGAGGGAACATGAACTGAACTATCACAGAAGGTGAATGGATTTTGACAGTTGTTTGCAAAGGTTCAGGCAAAACAAACATAAATATTAAAATTAAAAAAAAAAAATACTGATTATTCATTGGTTTCATTCCTATCTCATCCCTTGCAACTGTTTTACTCATTTTTACCTCTAATCTCAACAAAAGCAAGTCATGCATGCACATCACATCCACAAAGGATGAAACGTGTCCTGAGCACTGTAAGCCCGTGCTCTTTGCTGTTCTTACAGAGCAATCTCCAGGCCAGCCGGTACCTCCATGCACAACATAGCAAGATTAAGTTTGATTCTGCAACTACTTTGTCAATGTTAATAATGGCTAAGGTAAAGTATAACCAGTATTTTCAGTGCAGCAGTGCCAATGTCAATGCAGTGTGACACAGTAAATATGGAAACCTGACTGGCTTTAATGTGTTAAAGTATATCTTTAGGATACAAGAGACTAAAAAAAGCCTATTCACAAATGGTAGTATTTGGGAAGAACTGCTTTTCAGTATTCCTTAAGGGAGGAACTTCTATAGAGAAAGCCTGAATTTAAAAAAATCACTGACAACTAATATACGCTACAGTGAGTGATCATGTCTCATCAAAAGCACTGCTTTACTTCAAGAAAATCTTTGCAACTTCCAGAACCAAAGAAACAATTTCATATGTTAAACCACTAATTACTCCAATGAAACCAAGACCAATTTCATCATAATTCTCAAATATTCCTTCAAACTGGATCGTTGTCATACTTGATGCTCTATAAGCATTTCAAGAATTGCTCACACATCCCATGAAAGATGCAATCACCAGACTTAAAATTAGCATGATGGTTGTATCTCCATGTTTAGATAGTTAAACCTCATCCTATATATGTAACGAAACACTATTTGACAGCACAATAGCATGCATCTAGGTAACTTAATTCAGCCAAGAACAAAACACATGACAATCTTTAACAATGAATTGAAAACAGCAAAGTGTATCCTGAAATCTGTGACTTAAGGCCTCAAGAAACAACATGCCTGTGCTTTTCAAGCATTTATTAATTCAAACTGAACTACATGCATGCATCACTGTTTCAAAACAGCATATGACAACACAAGGTATTCCACTGTTCAGTGGAAACAGAATACAATGCTGATGTTTTATTCAACAGGAAACATATTTAAAGTACTCAAAAACTCAAAACTACTCAACATTATGATATTTTTGGCCGCTACCTCCCTTGCTTATTAAGCCAACTAAATAAATTAAACTTTTAAAAAGTAAAATGAAACAAAATAAAGACCTCCAAAGCATTTTGCAATGTTCTCTCCATAACAAATCATACCAACTTGTTTCAAGCTAAATTCTACTTCCAAAATAAAGAGACTACATCACATACAAATTTTCTCTTTATTTAAATAAGAAAGAAAAAATAGGATTTGTTCTAGTGAAGGAATGAATAAGTTTGTAACTGTTAAACCTAAACAAACAAGGAACAACAAAAATCTTCCCTTCCACGCACACTCAGATTTATGCAACTACAAAGTTTTCTAAAATGTATTATCCGGAATGCTTCATACAATAGGAAGTCATTAGTGATAAAAATAACTGGACATTAATTACATTAGTGAATGAGGTAAACCTTAGGGTTTTTTTTAGCTATACCCAAAACATTAACCTGTAAATAGAAAATGCTTTCAAATCCTAAGTATGAATTCAGATTATTCAATTCTCAAACCCTAGATTTACCCTCGGTGAAATAAAAAGGAAGACAGCTGAAGAAGATTCATAACACCACCCCCTTCTAAAACTACCCAGTAAAGGAAGGAGAATACCAAGCAGGGAAGCACAAAGATGAACCTGTCCTCAATGCTTCACATAAGGTTACCATCCACTCCCATTACCTCTCACTAATTTATTTCCAAATAAAATACTCTGTTTTATAGTCTAGCTCTTCACAACGTAAACACAAAACAAAACACACCCAAAGGCATGACTGAAAATAGACAGGAAAATGATAAATCTGACATCAAATAAGTTGAGGATGCAGAGCAAGAACATCTAACAATATGACTGTAAAAACTTCTAACATCAACATACAAAACAACAAAAACACATTGTGCCAAATAAGCACAGGCAGTAAAGAAGCAAATTAAAGAGACATCAGGCAAGAACATTTCAAAAGTTACCAATTGTGAGAACATGAAACCCATAAAGATGTGTCCTTACTTGGGCACAAATTCAGCATGAAACTTAAACACGACTTTGCACTAGGTCAGTCTTACAAACACAAATGAATATCTGCATCCAAGTTCCAGAGATGCATTTTGATACTACTGCATAAACATCAGGTGCAAACAACAAAAAGAACTAGAAAACTAAGACATCAATGTTCTGCTCACAAGGAAGCAAAATTGCTTCTGACAGATTCTTGGTGAAACCAGACCAAGTATTCACAAATAGACCAATAGTCCTGTACAAAAAGAATAAAGGCACTCACCCAGCTGGTGAAGGGGCTCCTGGCTGTGCAGCACCCCATAGCAGCAGACCAGGTCCAAGAGATGCTCTCCCTTCATCCCAGAGGCTGGCCCTTATATGAGCCCAGGGGCTCCACCTGTGCCACCCCTCCTGGTCAGCTGGGGAGCACAGATGCAAACAATCTGCCTGTGCTCCCTGGGCCAGACACAGCCCTGCACCAGGTGCTCCATCACCACTTCAAGCCCTGCCCTAACCATTGCCCTGCAGTCAATCAGAAAAACAACTGAAGAGCTGCTAAGTGCATGAATCAGACACTGAAATTTTTTGGGGGGGTAAGTCTCAATACTCTGTTTACCTAGTACAGTAAGAACCAAGTTCACAGTTGAGATGTGCAATACTAGAAGTAAAACTCAAGCTGCTTAGAATGAGATTGTTCTAAAAAGTTGACTGAGTGCTTTCATAGTTTCAAAATTATGAAATGTATTAAAAATAAGCATGACCATATAGTAGGTCAAAATGACATGCAAACTTTTTTTTCTCAGCCAACATAAAATATTCAGCATCTAAGTGCCACCAATTAGATTCTAATATGATTTTGCTCATCATCGAGTCACCTTTACTTGCTTTTGTACATCTAGATATGCAAATATACTGACAAAATCCTTTATCCATTAACGTTAATTTGATTATGCTTTTAATAAACGCACCAAACCAAAAACCTCTCCCATCACTTTCAGTGAGAAAGTATTTCAGCAGGCATTTTCCATTGCTGAAATCTCCACAAGCACGTTCTGAAGTTTCAGCAATGCTGCTACTGAACAATGTGGGTATTCAATAATGGTAGCAAAATCGATACCAGCAAAAAACTCCCTTTTTAAGTAAATAATTCCTTAAGACTTAAGAAAAATGTCTCCTCTTTTCCTTCTTGTACATTTTGAGTGCATCTTCATCAATTCTCTTTCCAAGGCAATTTCTATATTTGAATAAATTGCTTCTTTGAAGAGTTTCTTCTCATACCACAATTTCCCTTCTTCCTTAGTAGCTACTGAGAATTCACAGAAGAGGTTTTCAAACAGAAGTGAAGCACAGAAAAACATCTGAACTACATAACAAATCTTTTTACGCTGTCAACCACAGAAGTATTTCCAAATTTATACCAGATTTGTTTTCTTTAATAAACATTGTTAGATTGAATAGGTGTTTTAAAAAGTTAAGTATATATCTTCTTACACATGTAACATTAAAAAAAATTAGATCGCACCTAGAAAATGAGCATATTATTTGGAATAAAAAAGTCATGCTAAAAAACTAGCCATTCTGTAGTCCTCAATGTATTTTATTACTCAAAGTTTCAAGGAAATTCGCATGCTAGACAAACACAAGCTTGCAATAAATGAGTATGGAAAACAGCATTTTTGAGTGTAAACAAACATACACTAGCAATCTTAAAGTAGAATGTGCATAAAACCTTATTTACAAACAAAACAATCCATATTTTTCATGAGTACAATAGCATGAAAAGTGAGACTGACAAAGTCAGCTAGGAAAACATTCTTGAATCATAAAAATATGTTAGAATAGGACTTATATATAATTAATTTAAAGCTTTGCTTTAAAACGAGCTTATTATAAATCTTTTTTTCAGCTTTAAAACTTTATTCTAAAAATTAGCCTTTCTATAAAAACCATTCCATTAAAATTTTGCTTTAAAAAAATCAGTTTTATGTTAGACAAAATATTAAATTATCCAGGCACAATTAGTTCAGAGGACTATAAAAACTCATACTATAACCCTTTATTTTCCAGTGACTTGTAATGCAGTCATAAGATTCTTTGTCAACTGACAACCATAGGAAAATTCACCCATAGAAATCAACCTTTATTTCAAAACTAAAAGAAAAATTTTTTAAAGTCAGACTGTATTTCACTTGCAGAAGAATTTCCAGCTGGCTTGAGTACACGTACGTCTTTTATTTATGCTGGGAAATATGCATGTATATATATTTTGGGGAGTTTTTTGATACATATTTTTAACAATGAGTAGTTTATGATGACAGCTTTTACATTTCTTTCAGACATTTTATTCAAAAATACAACAGTTCAAAGTGCAGCTTTATCTCAATACAAACTAGTGACCCTTGACACTTCAGAAAGTTAACCAAGAATAGGTTTTGATTTGGAGGGAGGGAATGCACAGGAGGTACAATGTGCAATTGCAGAGTCAGCAAGGTCATTCATAAGCTATTCTTATTTATCTAAAAATATATACTGTACAAGTATAGAATTTACAAAGACTTTTACAATAAGACACATTATATAATGCATCGAACTGCAGATGTACAAATGAGCCCAGACAGTGATGAAGCTTAATTCTCTGTTTAAAACTTAAAACACATGAAAAATTGGAATTGATTTTATAGTGTACAGACAATTTCAGCACTGGGGTTTCTGCTTCCTAAACACTTTTTAATCAAATAAGCTGTCATCATAAAAACTGAAAGCAAATAAAAAACACCAAAACAAAACCAAAGAAAAACAACAAAGAAACCAAACCAAAACAAAAACTCAAAGACAAATACAACCAAAACCACAGAATATCAGATTTCTTTCCCAACAAAGTCATAAAGCATCAACTGCCTAATAAGAATTACTTGGAATATTTTATTTTTAAATTCAGCTTACGAAAATATCTGTTTTAAGCAGATATTTTAACTTTAATACACTGGATGCTGCTTCGGGTTTGTTCTATTTCAATACTGTACTGACTACTTAAAATAAAGTTTGAACTACAGTACACAAAATCGTAACCAACAGTACGCTCTACTAAAATCCAAAGAAAGCACATGGTCTCAAATTTAATGTTGAAACACTACAAGAACTCATTGTTACTTGTCTGTATTATAACATTTCTATCCCCTCCCTAAGGAATGTCAAATTAACCTATGAACTTTGCCAATAAGCTGCTTAAAAAAAAAAAAGAGCAAAAGAGAATAAAGAAAACACTAAACTTACATTTCTTTCGGAATTTGAGGATTCATTATAACCACCACCACGGTAACCAGGAGAGACATACTTCCTTACCAGGATGGTCCATTATTGCTAGATAACAGCCCACAGTGACTTTTTGTCCAAAATAACTAATTTGGACATGATTTCAGGAAAAAGGATCAATATAAAACCAAGTTCGGTTGTATTTCATTTCAAAAAAGCACTGATCTGAGTTCTATCATACTATATTAATCTCAATACCACTCATTAGGCAAATATATACCATATTACGTGTTGAACAAGATTTGCATATATACAAACACAAAATACAAACACAGAATTCACCCCAGATTAATATATCTTAATTTAATTTCTAGTATAACAGGATTTTTTTTTTTGCACTTTAAGAATTATGTGGAAAAAAATGAGAGTAGGCACAATTAATACAGCTTCTAATTTACCCAATTACAGTGCACTATTATGCACTGATAATCCATTAAAATAACATACTATTCAAGCCCATTTGTTTTGATGCACAGGTGAAGCCTAGTAAATAGGGTTCTATCTAAGTGCTTTAAACTCAAATGCACAACTTCTGCAGCTTTACACAGTAGAACAGTGCAATATATAACGTCCCATATACCAGGAACAAGAGTTTAAAGTTGTACCTGTTTCACATTAGACTGGCTTTGTACTTTCTGCAGCTCTAGCACTTCAATTGCTTTGTCTATGGCCTCCATTTGTTCCCTTTCCTTTTCCAGGTGCTGGCTAATTAAGAAAAAAAAAAAAAAAGTTGTTTTGGTGGCTAGCTCTCACCTGGTAGAACAATACAGTTTCTAAGTAACGGTACAGCAGAAGTTCTTCTTGAGGGTCGGTTCACAGTGCTAGGGTGACCCCGATCTCCACTTACTTCCCAGCTTCTGACTTTGGAAGAAGCTCGCTCTGGCTTCTTGGGAAAAGATCCTGATGTGCCTTTCTGTCTCTTCTCAGGAATACTTGTGACTGTTGAGGTCAGAAAAGTCCTTTTTGACTTTCTCCTCACATTTAATTTTTTAGCATCGGGTTTTTCTTTCTTAAGGTGTTTTCCCACTGTATTTTTCCTTGTTTGGTGCCTGTGAATGGAGAACGCTGAAGATCTCTGGGCACAAGGAGAAAGTTTCCGTCTCATACCCTCTTTTTGTTGCTTTTTAGTTCTGGAAGCTTGTTTGCCTGTTGTTACTCTGTTTCCTCTCCTCGCAACAGCGCATCTGACAGACATAGCTCCTGCAGCTTTTTTGGAAAAAAAAGGTTCTTTATTAGTGCTTTCTTTTCTCTTCCATATTGCTTTTGGATTATCTCTCTCTAATCGATCACCCCTGATGGAGGTCAAAGGAGTTTTAGTAACTCTACTGTTAAAAGGAGTTAATCTACCATCTCCTTCGACAACAGACTGGTGAGAACTCAAAGGTGAAATGACCAGCTGTTTAAAAGAGTTCTCAGAGTGGCTAGATACCAGACAATCTGTTCTTTCTGTGGAAACTGAAGATCCATCTGCTTTTTGACTTGAGAGTGTATCATTCACTTTAGCTGACTCTGGCAGACAAATTGCTGAAGATGAGCTATAGAAGTCTGACCGATTGAAGGACTTTGTTGGTGTGTCTTCTCTCTGTGCATCAGCTAATTTCCTCATGTTTGCATCAAAGCTGAGACTTCTGAACAGCTGTCGAACGTGAGAAGGCTTTTTGGCCTTTTCCCCAACTGAACCCTTAGGAGGTATTTTCAGAATTCTGTTTGTCAGCGGGTCATAATACTTGAAAGAACACTGTTTGTATTTATACCTTATAGAGTCCTTGCTATCTGTAGAATTACGATTTTTCCTCATTTTGGGAATATCTACAGGTTTCCCTTTACACTGTTTCATCTCTGGACACGAAAGTACATACACCACTGTCTTGGGCTGCACAGGGCTCATAATCTTGCTATAGGACTCAGGAAGCTTAAGGGCACATAGTCTAGTTTTCATGTTTGGAGTCTTTTCATTTTCTGGCCATATAATGCTTGCTTTTTGATCAGATGGATCCGATTCTCTTCTTGTCATTTTTCTTTTCGTTACAGGGTAGTTCAATAGGCTTGTTTGGGTGCCATGGCTGACTTTCACCACCTGACATCTTGAAGCTAGGCGCCATGTCCTTTTCCTAGGCGTTTTAAGAGTTTGTGGGTTGCATAGCCTATCTGAAGCTAAAGATGGGTTATCAAAATCAAAACCACCACTTAAAGCATCATTAAACTCTGGTAGTGCTTTAACTGAAGCAGTTTCTGTTCTATTACCCTCAGCAGTATTGTTCCTTTTTTCATCTTTCTGCTTTTTTTTCTTCATTCTCTTTCCTGTACAGTTGGCCGAGGATTCACTGTCAAAGTAGCAGCGAAAACGACCTTCCCTGAAATCACGCACAAGTTCTTCTATTTTGATATCATCTTCGTACATTATCTGAGACCAAGTCTTTCCCACAAAAGAAGGAGGCACATGAGGCAGAGCTGGAAGAACTGCTTCTTCAGGATGAACTACGACATTCTGTTTCACTGTCTCTATTTGCTTTGACTCAGTTTTTAGAACAGAAGAGAGCTGTGTTCCATAGTCTTTATCTTGCAGACTTATTTGGACCTCTTTTAGCAATTCTATATCTTTTATAGCTGCCTTGGGTAAGTCCGTTCCTGACTGAATAGGTGCATCACAGTCAAAACTCATTTCAGAGCCCTCTAAATCAGCATGATCCAGAAGTGATGAAGAAGTTAAACAGAGATTATTCTCCTCTTTGAAATGAAGTTCTTCATATGCAGTTCCATGGCAATATTTCAGAATAACATTTTCAATTGTTTCATCCACTGAACTTGCATCCCCTCTGTTCATCTTCACATTTTTGCATCTTGCTAGTGGTGGGGAAGTCCCAAGACCTAGGGCGCTGCTGATCCCCACAGTATCCCTGAGACGGAAATCAGACACCAAAGTTTCATCCTGAGTTTGTAAACCATCTCGTGTTAAAAGAGGTTGACCTGAGGTAAAATGTGAAGTATTCCTGTGGCTGCACACAGGATTCTGATGCAAAACTGAAGGGCATTTTGGGTGAACCAGTGCCAGAGCAGGCTTCAACTTATTCCTAGTGCACACCCCCATTCCCGTGTTATCACATCCACTATGCAGAATACGATTTGATGATGATGACGAAGTCTTAATATTTTTTTCTATTTTACGATTAACAGAAGAACTATGAACGAACGTATTGACAGAAAAATGTTGAGGTACTGGGCTCAGAGCCGTAAACTGGCCTTCATGGCTATGATTTCCA